TCTCTTCTCCATTGCCCAGATCGTCACAGCAAAGGCATCCTCTCGTAAATTGCAAATGCCTCATTGCATTGCCCGCACTGGGCATGAGCGTCGATCATCGCGTTCCAGGCCAGCAAATCTTTCTGTCCAAGATTCTCAACAGCCAGACATGGAGAAATCCACACATCCTCCGAATCTCTGTGGCAATCTGCAAATCCCTGCTAAGCCCACACTCCTCGAGGAGCGATCGAACAAGGTTGCCCTGCTCCAGCGTCAAGCAAGACCTCACCGGAGGGAGTGAACCTCCGGCTTCACTCCCTCCAAGCACATCTCCCCAAGAACATTAAATCTCTCATCCCTGCTAGCGTAGGCTGCGATCAAGAAGCCCCAAGGTAAGACATTCTTGTCGGCGATGGCATCGAATGCCGTGCGTGTGTCGTCCGTGCTGCCGCATTTGCCATACATCTCCACAAGAAGATTGCCGATCCTGGTGAGCGAGTGGCGGCCATGGACTCGCAGCTGCGCAATCAGAGCGTGCAAGAGCTTGCCTGCTTCCAGGGCATTTAATCTGCCACATCTCAACACAAGAGCTCCAAACTCCTCCGCGTGGATCGCAATGTGGACACTAGAGGAAGTATTGCGTTGACCCTTTGACTCTTGAAAAAGTATATTAAATTCAAATCTTTTTACATGATATTGATTCATATATTGTTTCCGTGATTACGAATTCAGGAATCCCCTCATCGATCAATGACAGGAGCAAGGAGGAGAGAAGGACAAAAGAAAAGAGAAGAAAAACCATTCTTTGGTTTCTCTCTTGTGCAGAGGAAGAGGAAGGAGATTTTGGATTTCTTTCTCTAGCTTTGTCTTTCTCTTTTATTTTTTCTTTTTTCTAAACTGTTTTAAATGTCTTGAACAACAGTGCTCTAGTACAAGTTTTTTCTTTTATTTTTAGGTTTCATATTATTTTTGATGATGATGCTCTTGTTTTTGCATTCCTGTTAAATTCCTGTCAAGTCCCACATTTACACTTAAGTACAAACATTTACATTGATAATCTTACTGACATGATCGCCTGAAGGGCAAGATGCCTGTGAGAGAATTGTATGCCAAACAGGCTATGCATTGGAAGCAAGGAGAGTGTTTGAAACCATGCCCCGAGTGATTGACTAATTCAATAATCACTGTGTTCGCCCAAAACTTTAGAGAGGCGAGGAGCTCTTTTGACAGCTTACCAGCGAAGGTTCTTCTGTGTAGAATGCTCGCTGCAGGGTATATGTCAAAGCGATCTGCCTGCAGGATCACAAGATCAATCTTGCCAAGTGCATGTTTGGAGGAGCGAAGCATAACGTGCTGAGATCTTCCATCTGTCGATGGCAGAAATTGTCTCTTTTTTCAATTTTTTGCAGTTAAGAGCTTTATGAGAAGTTGAGAAGATTTTAAAAGAATATTTGAATATTCTAAAAGAATCTGTGCGAAGAGATCCAGTGGAACACGGCTAAGTAGAGCTGAGGCCAGAGGGTGTAGCACAGAAGAGAGCAGATATGGTCACACAGCGGATGTGAGTGAGGTGTCACATGGAGTAAGTCTGCAATCAGAGAATACACACTATGCTACACATCTTACTTGATGTATTGGCAGAGTTGCTTATGAACTAATAGCAATTTCTTTCTCCATTGTAGTTCCAGAAGTGTTGACTTGGGATTTGTGTAGTAGTTGTCATCAAAATGACAACTATTACAAGCACACACAAGTTAATCCTAAATCAACACTTCTGAAACTACAATGGAGAAATAAATTGCTCTTGGTTCATAAGAAACTCTGCCAATACATCAGCTAACAGGCATAGCCATGCCTGTCCACAATGCAGTGCGTATTCTCTGATTGCTCGCAAGCCAAACCTGCTCAGGACACCTCACTCACAGCCACCCAGTAACCATGTCTGCTCCTTTGCACCACATCCTCAAGCTCTGGCTCTGCACTCCACTCGTGCTCCATCTCTTCCACTGCCCTAACCAACTTTTTCCCACCTTCCAGATCTCTTCTCGCAGATTCTTTTGAAATATTCGGACATTCTTTTGGAATCTTCTCATATTTTAAGCTCTTAACTGCAAACAATTGAAAAAAGAGACGATTTCTACACCATGTGAAAGATTCCAAGGTTCATGCTAAATGTGTAAGCCGAGCTTTACAGCCGTCTCCTTCGAGCTTGAGACGAGTAATCCTCCACCATATGAAGTTGAGTACATGCAGCCAAGCATAATGGACAATGCATGGGGATGTCTACGACAAGAGCCATCAGATCTTTTGGCGTAGCATCCAATACGAAGTCAATAGTCCTTGCGTTCAAATGTCCTCGCCGCCCACCAGTCTCTCTTGGACAGTCCCTTCATAGTCTATGCAACAAGAAATTACGGAGAAATTACAAAGGTTGCAAACTTTGAGTCAAAATAAGGGGGGCTAGATAACATCTCCAAACCGATCAAACCAAGAAAAGCCACCTCAAAAACTCTAATTGCAGGTGGATTGCTTCCTCAACACGGCTAATGGGAATGCTACAATCGAAGCTGCAAGAGCTTTTATTCCTGCAAATGCCACAGTTTTCCTTCAAACTCCAGGTTTATTACAGAAAATCTTTATTCCTGCAAATGCCGTGGTGAAGTCATATTACAGCAGTGTTGTGTGATCACATCCTAATGCAGCGGCTTCCACCACCACTCCAGCTCAAACCAGGAGGGCAGCGATGGCAGCCATTTCTATACCAGTACCAGCTGCTTGGGCAACTCACGCATTTGCTTCCACTCCACTTCCATCCGGAGAGGCATTGGTGGCAACCGTTGCCATACCAGTACCAGTCTTTCGGGCACTGGATACACTTCTCACCATCCCAGTTCCATCCGGATTTGCATCGCTGCTGGGCGTCCACTCCCCCTAGGAGGAATGTCACAAACATCGCCAAGAGTATCAGCTGGGACTTGCTCGCCATGATGATTGATCTCAGAATTGTGATATCAGATTCTAAACTATGATCTAGATCTCTCCAACTTCTTTAGCTTCTTAAAGATCAGGGTGTGGTTTGGGGAATTTATAGCACCGAGATGTTGGAAGGGACGAAGTCTAAATAATCGTCTTCACTCGGCTTTGACTTCTTACCGCGTACACTTTGTTGCTCTTGATATAGTCAAGAACTAGTACGTGTGTAAACGGCCTGTGGAATCTTCAGACGCCATGCAGGTTGGAAGCTGCTGTTGGAAACTTTCTTACTATATTATAATAAGGATATGAAGTTGGAATGGTCAAATAGTTCCAAGAACCGTGATATTGGGCCTCTAACTCCCCTCCATGCTCCACCATCTCTTACGCATGTTTATAATCATCCACACAAAGATTCTACCAGCCAGCTCGCCAAAGAAGGTGGCGAGCTTTTTCTTGCACATAGATTTTGCTAGGCTGCTCTAAGTTGAAGACTTCATCAAGACCTCTCAATGGGATCACTATATTCCTATATTTGATTGCAAACTCACAGCAAGCTCTAAAGAATCTTCTTCCTTACTGGAGACGTCTGTGTTCCCACAGCAAGTCATGTAAGATTCCCTCTCCAAAAGAAGATGGCGAGCCTCTTCTATTGGCTATTCCAGCTTGTTAGAGACGTCTTCCAACAGCTTCTCATGCTCGAGATCACTGTGTTTCTATAGTCGGTTTCAATCAATGGCTGATTGCAAGCCAAATTTTTTTTCACAAACAACAATCTTTTCTTTCTAAAGAAGATGAAAATTATTCTTAAAAGAACAAAGGGCCATGATTGTCCAAGGCCCACCATCCTCCAAGTTTGAGATTCTTGTGTTATAATGATGCCCACCATCTTAGACTTTTCATTTTTTTCATGTTTTACCACATTTCTGCCATGCTTCCCCCTCATTTTAGATTCCTTTATATCCAGGTTCTGATCTCTTACTACAATCTCCTAGATAGATAATCTAAAAATACTTTTGAAGCTGAGATCATTTGATAAAATATAATAAAATTAAAATTAAAATATTGATCTTGGAATACCCACTTGACTCATAAAAGTATTTTATCCTTTCTTGTTTTTTTATTAATTTCTCATTTTGTAATTTAGATATATTGTATAGGTAAACTTCAAATTTATTATGAAATTTTTCTTAATTTTTTATATTTTGTTACTCCTGATGATTATACTTTAGACTATAGAGAAAAAAACACACTTAGACAAAATGAGATTTTAATTATTATAATTCAGCTTTCACAAACAATTAGAAATATACTATCTAGGATCAATAAGCAGTTGTAATGGGGTATGAAAATAATAATATAAAACAAAAAGATATTCCATTAACAATATTTAATATTAATAATAATAATTATATCCTTAATCAAGAAAATTATGAAGATAGAGATAATATAAGAATTACTCTTAATAATTTTTTTAACTCGAACAAGAAGAACAATTAGAATATTAAGTGCTTTTAGTGTTACAGTAGTAATTGGCTTATAGAGTTTTGAATATATGGCATTTAATTATAATTTTACTTTCCATATAAATGAGGTATGACAAAATGCTAAGAAACGCTACTTTGGAAGAGGCAACTAAACTTACCCTGATTTTTTATGTAATCCGCTCCTAATTACAAACCATGCCTTTCTTAAAAATTACTTGTCATAGTGCTGTGTCGATCCGGATTTGAGGAGTGTCACCAACATCGCCATGACTATTCATCCTTGTAGAATTATGGATTTCTGGAGCTTTAGCTTTAAGATCAGTGTTTGTGGTGTCGTTTAGGAGCGGATTCAATTCCCATAAGTGGATAAGTGGGACACTTTTGTTGCACTTGGACATGGACATGTATAATCTCAAAACAGAAACATACATATCATTGGGAAACGCGAAACTTCAAACGCCATGCAAGTTGGAAGCTGCGGTTAGATCTTGTTTATATTATGAAGTTGGAATTTAGACATGTTTAGCTTGTTAGTGAAAATTGTTAGTGAAAATTATAAGTTTAGACTTCCAAGAACAGCCATTCTTCCCCATCCACAAACGCAATACTGCTGTAGTCCTGAGCCTCTTCTTCGCTCAAGTGTTTCACCCAATTGGCAAGCTTCGTGGGGACAGCCCCTGGACCCTGACTATCGTACTCAGCAAACAAAACGTTCCTGGAAATCACACAGAAAAACGATTACATGCCTACGAGCCAATATCTAGATTCATACCCATTGCCATTGTTGTATGGCCATCTGTCCCAGTTGTTTGGAATTACAACTTCGTCGAAATAGCTACTGATAAGCACAACGCGGGCAAAATCTTTCCAAGGGTGGCCGAAAGACAGTTGCCCAGTTCCTCCAAAGTAGCTGTTGACGAACGAGTAACCCCACGATCGCTCTGGCTTAGACTGAAGAGTAATCCCTCCAGTGTTGTTCCTCGAGTTGGAGACGATATTACACTCCTGTGCACGCAAAGAATTGATCATATAAGCGTCACGGACGAAGCAATTCTTCTTCAGTTTCATATTTACCTGGAATAATGACCTTCCTTGTCCAGTGATGAAGTTTATACTGCCTTGGATGAAGGTCCTCTTGTAGAAATGTCTGCCGCGGTCTTCAGAGAGCGTATGCTGGCTCGAAGTGATGAAACAGTCGTAAAACGCCGCAAAGTCACCCGATACTTGCACGGCTACGGTGTTGCTTTGTTGTTCTTCTACGGCTCCAGCATAAACAAATGGTGCATCGTTCTAAACTTCATATTAATAAAAGTTGAAGAGACAAGAACTCGGAAGTACCTTGAATGTGATGAACTGCGCAACAAAGTACTTTGCCTGAACTGAGAGTGTGGGCTCGTTTCCAGCGGACACAACAATCGTCGCAAACTTGTCATCAAAGTTGCCCAAGAGCGTGATGAAATCCTTGCTTGCTGGAATCGTGATTCTCTCGCTGCAAGAGAACACAAGCATTAATGATAGTAATGCTATAGTGATTACCGATAAACTCCGCTGGCGACATGGATTATATAGCGCCGCTTGTTCTCCAGTGGAACAGCATCGATGGCGGCCTGGATCGTCTTGAAATCGCTGCTCGGCCCAACATAAACGTCGATCTTTCTCTCATTCGCATTAACAAGAGCGGGGTGAAGATCATCTTCGGCATGACCTTTGCATAGATTATGCTGAGACAAAAGAACCAATAAGCCCAACAGGAAAATCACCCTCAACATTGCAACGATCTCCAAGATTAAAAATGGGAGGAAACTTCCTCTTTAAACGCTCTTGGGAGAGTTGAATATGGTTTATGCGCATGTTAATTTTATTAATAAAAACGCAAAAATAAATCTAATAATAAAAGTAATTAATTTTGGATTGCGTTAATGTACGGTTGGTGGCGCCCGTACGGCCTTGGCCCCATGGCATGATGAAAAAACCCTAAAGTGCGAGGTATGATTTTGTGTGGACTGGAAGAGTCCTACTCGAATTCCTTTGTCTCTCTTCTACGGCGGGGAGGCATTCTTGTCGGCGCGGGCGATCGATCGATCTATTCTTCTTCTTTCCTCGATCGGGCGATCGATCGCTCGGGCTATGGGGGCATTGCCGATCGCGGAGTTTGTGAGCAGCGCCAGCAGCGCCAGCGATTCCGATAGGTCAGCAGCCAGCGACGAGGATTGTCTCGTGGACGACGGCGACGGCGATCTGGTAGCCGATTCGCGGCTGGTGAGCTCGGTGCGCGCGCTGCTCCAGGGGCTGGGCGAGGATCTCTCGCGCAATGGACTGATCAAGACGCCGTCCAGGGTCGCCAATGCCTTCCTCTCTGCCACTAAAGGTTAGCATTTCTCTTCCAAGGCGAGATTTCGATCGCGTAGCGCTTGCATCACAGTCCCTTCCTTTCTTTCTCTTGAGTGATTGGTTCTTTGCGTCGGTCTTCTCTGCTAGATGACAAAGCTTTTCTTTTTTAAATCTCGCGAGCCGAGACTTTCGTATAGAACTCTTTTTTTTTCATGTCGGATAGAGGTCTAAGTTTTCAAGCTTAGAAATCTTCTTTCTTTATAGAGCTTGGAGAGAGTTCTAAGCTCTGTTGGACAGGCTTCTACGTTTCAAGCTTTCTTCTAAACTTCTTCTCTTACTTGGACCATAGGCTATGGACTCTCGGCGGAGCAAACCATCGGTGGAGCTCTCTTTGCAGAAGCGGGCCCTGGAAACGGCAAAGGTGGCGGCTGCGGAGGAATGGTGGTGGTCCGAAACATCGAGCTCTTCTCCACCTGCGAGTCCTGCCTCTTACCATTCAAGCTCTGCTGTCACATCGCTTACATTCCCTCCGAGCAGCGCGTCGTCGGCCTCAGCAAGCTCCCCCGCGTCGCGGAGATCTTCGCAGCTCGGCTCCAAAGCCCGGATCGTCTCGCCAACGAGATCGCAGGAGCTCTCTGGGACGGATTTAAGCCTCTCGGGGTGGCCGTGGTTGGAGAGACTTGGCATCTCGAGTGTCCCCGCGAGCTTCGAAGCAGCAAGGAGCCGGCTTCCTGGATTCGACGATCGGTCTGCGCCAGGAAAGGCAGCTTCGAGGACGACGATCGTGGCTCGGAAGACTGGCAAGAGTTCGTTGCCATGCTCCAGCTGAGTGGAAGCTCGCAGCTCTCGGTGACGAAGAAGCCGGCGATCTGTCCGCTACTAGCCGGTGACGCCGCCGCTGAGAGATCTTCGCACCCCAACTTTGAGACGATGGTCGAGGCGGTGGTGACGCTGCTGCGAGCTCTTGGCGAAGATCCAACGCGGGAGGAGCTCAAGCTCACGCCTTCTCGCTACGTTCGCTGGCTGCTAGCATCAACGCACGGGAGCCGGCTCTCTAGGGACTTCATACTCGGGAATGGAGTAGCAGCAGTAGAACAGGATGGCGATCACCACGTGACGATGGTAGCTGTGCTGGATCTTCCATTCTGTTCCCAATGCGAGCACCATCTTCTTCCATTCTCCGGAGTGGCTCACGTCGGAGTTCTTCCAGCGAAAAACCACCCGAGCTCTCATCCCAGAGCTAGTCGGGGCATCCTCGAGAAGATTGTCAAGCTGTACAGCTGCCGGCTCCAAGTCCAGGAGAGATTGACGAGGCAAATCGCCGACGCTGTGATGAGCTCCACTGCTGCTAGCGGCGTCATGGTTGTCGTCGAGGCTGGGCACGTCTGTATGATCTCTCGAGGCGTGAAGAAAACCGGCAGCACTACAGGAACGCTGGCGACAATGGGCGATTTTGCCGTCCATGGCAAGAAGCGGGCGGAGTTCTTACAGATGATCGCTACTGCAAACTCTTCCAAGTAAAGAGGGAGAGACAGAGATCTGCGAGTAAAGAGTTGAATTTACCGAGCAAAGGAATTTTTTTAACGAAGAACAGACTTACGTACTTCTTAGGACGTCTTTACACTTACAAAATTACGATGCCACTGCCGCTGGAGCTCGCCAGGAACTCTTCTTCACGCAGTGGTCAAGTATCTCTTCACGGCGGCCTTTTGCTCTGGAGTGAGTCGCGTGGGAAACTTGACGTCGAATTTGATCTTGAGGTCTCCTTTCCTGCCTGGCTCCTTGGCGATCGGCATGCCTTCCCGTGGAACAATCTTCTCGTAGCCGGGAGAGATGATGTCGTTGATGGGAATCGTGAGCGTTCTTCCGTCGAGAGTGTTCACTGTGATCGTCGTTCCTGTTAGAGCGTCGGCCAGGGACACCTTCTGTGTCATCACCAAGTCGTTGCCGTCGCGCTTGAAAACGTCGTGTGGCTTCTCGTCGATCACGAAGACGATGTCCGCCGGTATCAAGTTTGGCTGCTCGTTTCCCTTCTCTGGAAAAGTGATCTTGGTGCCTTTCTTCCACCCCGGCTTCACGTCGATAGTAAGAAACTCCTCCACAGGCATTGTCTTCCTGTAAAGAAACAAGAAGCTCTCACGTTAGAATCCTCCATAAGAGCGTTCTAGGCAAAGTTCTAACGAAGTTCTAGCAAAGTTCTAGCGAAGTTCTAGCAAGGTTCTAGCAAGGTTTAGCAAAGTTCTAAGGAAGTTCTAGCGAAGTTCTAGCAAGGTTCTAACTTTCCAAAGAAACTTACCCGCTGGGATCGGCGATGTTGCGAGAGATCTTCATCTTCCTGGTGGAGCCAGTGTAGAGCTCCTCGAGACTGCACGGGAGCTTGTTCTCCACCGCCGGAGCTTTCCTCGGACCGGTCGACAGAGATCCACCATCCTGGCCGAAGGATCTGAAAACGTTCTCGGTTCCACCAAAGCCCCCAAACATTCCATCGCCAAAGGGCGACCGGCTAGCGCTCCTCCCAAAACCTCCCATCCCAAACGGGCTGGATCCACCGAAGAACTCGGCAAAGATGTCCTCGGCGTTCCTAGGATTGAACACGAACACGTTGGGCCCGGCGCCATTCGCGAAATTCGTCCCTCCCGTGGCGCCGGGAGGAGGAACTTGGCCCTTGAGACCCTCCTCGCCATACTGGTCATAGATCGTCCTCTTTTGGGGATCGCTCAGCACCTGCGAATCACAGAAATCGATCGATCAGCCACAGTCGATCGAGAGGAGAGAAAAAAGAGGGATGGATCATACCTCATACGCTTCCGAGATTTGCTTGAATTTGGCCTCGGCCTCCTTCTTGTTGTTGGGATTCTTATCGGGATGCCACTTCATGGCGAGCTTGCGGTAGGCCTTCTTGAGATCATCCTCGGTGGCATTCTTGTCCACCTTGAGCACGCTGTAGTAATCTATCCCCATCGATTCCTAGTCGCTAGCAAGGATTTTCCCCCTTTCTTGATCCTAGAAGCTCGAATCTCGCTACACTACTCTCGCGAATCCGGAAATTTCACAGCGCAGTCGATCGACCGATCGCCTCAAAACCCTGATAGCTTTAGCTCCAGAATCTTCTGGAAAATACCATGACGTGGAACTTAGGCCCAAATATAAGCCGCCACGTCAGACCGGGATCCCACGTCTAAAACCCGTGTAAGGTTTAAACTCTAATTCTGCGTGCTCTACTTTAGGGCTCTTTGTTCTATCCAGAAATATTTCTGGGAAGAAAGGGCGCGATGAGGATGATGCGCTTGGATGGAAATCCCGTCGCGATCCAGCTCAATCTCAATGGCGGCGGCGCGTCAGTGCGAATGGTTGCGAGATCGCCGCGAAGGATCGGCTACGCTGCCGCCGTGCGCATCAGGCGAGGAGCATTCGCTGTGCGATGCGAGAAGGGGAATGGCGCGGTGAATTCGTCGTCCGGCAGTGGATCTGCCGAGGTAGGCGGCGTGAGGATGGATTTCGATCCTGTAGAGGAGGAATTCGAGAGCAGCGAGATCGAGGGGGATCCCGATCGTCCGTCCGAGGGATTTAGCTCCGTCGCCGAGGCGCTGGAGGCTTTCAAGCAAGGCAAGGTAAGGTATGGGTGCTTGCTAGAAAAAATTTTCCTTCCTTCCTCCTTTCTTGTTTTTTTCTTCTTGTGCGTCTTAAAGAACTCCTCATGTAGATGGTCATTGTTGTGGACGACGAGGATCGAGAGAACGAGGGTGACTTGATAATGGCGGCTTCCATGGTGACTCCCGAGAAGGTCGAGTTCCTGCGAAGCCATTGCACTGGGATCATTTGCGTCCCCATGAAGGGTGAAATTCTGGACCGATTGGACGTAAAGTTGATGGTTTCGGACAAAGAGAACGAGGAAGCACTATCTACAGCGTTTACGATTCCTGTGGTTAGTAGTTTTTTTTGTTCTTCACTTTTGGCTCGAATTCTTAGTTTTAAATTCTTTGTGCTACAGGATGGCCAAGGGACAACCACGGGTGTGTCATCCGAGGACCGTGCGAGAACCATTTCAATGCTTGCGTCGCCAAATGCCACTGCGAGCGATTTTAAGAAACCGGGGCACGTTTATCCTCTACGTTATAGAGAAGGTGGAGTTTTGAAGCGAGCAGGACACACGGAAGCCGCGGTTGATCTCGCTGTGCTTTCTGGAATGCCACCCGTCGGAGTGATCTGTGAGCTGGTGAACGAGAAGGATGGAAGCATGCAACGTTTGCCACAGCTACAAGTGTTTGCGGAAAAGCATAACTTACACATCATCTCCATTGCCGACATGGTCAGGTACTGGAAGCTCATTGTTGTTTTTCGTATGTTTCGTTCTGAGACGCAGGCTGTGCTCGTAGGTACCGGAGAAAACGCGAGAAGCTGGTCGAGCGAACAGCCATTTCGAGGCTTCCAACAAGGTGGGGGCTTTTCAAAGCGTACAGCTACAAATCCAAGCTCGATGGCATCGAACACATTGCCATTGTGAAGGTAAAAAACACTCTTTTCCATACACTCGACTTAAAAAATCTTCCAGGGTGACATTGGCAACGGCCGGGATGTCCTCGTCCGTGTCCACTCGGAGTGCCTCACCGGGGACGTTTTCGGTTCCAAGCGATGCGACTGTGGCAACCAGCTCGAGATCGCGATGATGCAAATCGAGAAAGCCGGGAGGGGAGTGCTGGTTTACTTGCGTGGTCACGAAGGACGAGGAATCGGCCTGGGACACAAGCTACGGGCATATAACTTACAGGACGAGGGCCGTGACACTGTGGAAGCAAACGTAGAGCTCGGCCTTCCAGTCGATTCGCGGGAGTATGGAATTGGAGCACAGGTAATGGATCAAACACTCGAAAACCTTGCGACTGATCGAACTTTCGTTTTGTAGATTCTAAGGGACGTGGGTGTTAGAACGATGAAGCTCATGACCAACAATCCAGCAAAGTATATGGGATTGAAAGGCTATGGTTTAGCGATCACTGGCCGCGTTTCGGTGATCTCCACTATCACTGACGAGAACAAGCGCTACTTGGAAACCAAGCGCGAGAAAATGGGCCATGTCTATGGGTCGGAGTTACCGGGGACTTTTACTGGGCTCATTGCTGACAAGGTAAATGGGAAAAAAAAGAGCCAAAATGCTCTTTAACAATACGTCGAGTGTTCGAATCCCGTCAATGGCAATTTTTTCTAAAACCCCATCAAATTCTTTCTTTCTTGTCCAAGCCCTAAAATGTGCCTTGCAATGGCGAGAGGAGCTCCGCTATGGCGCGCGGCGACGGCGATTTGTAGGGGCCGATCGGTGCGTGGATTGCCTAGAATCACTGCAATCGGTGCGAAATCTTTCTCTGTCGATGCTTCCTCGCGCACCGATCTCATCAAGACGCTGCGCGAGCGGACCGGGGCGCCGATCAAGGATGTCAAGGAAGTGCTGGTGAAATGTGAATGGAACGAAGGTATGCTCTTGATGAGATTGTGGAAAGGAAGGAAGAATTATTTTTTCTTTGGATTTTTCTATAGAGAATGCGTTTACTGAGCTGAGGAAGAAGGGCCTTGCTGCCGCGACGAAGAAATCTTCTCGTGTGGCTGCGGAAGGATTGCTTGGACTGGCACACTTCGAGAAAGGTGCCGCGGTCATAGAGATTAACAGCGAAACTGACTTTGTTGCTCGAAACGATCTCTTCCAGAGCCTTGTAAGTGATGGATGATCTTCTTCGGCTTTTAGTTTTGCTCACGATTTTTCCAGGTGCTGTCAGTCGCAAAAGCGGCATCCACATTGAAAGCTGTCCAACAATTTTCTTCTAAACCAGCTGCTCTTGATTTGCACGATTTAGAGGTAAGTCTGTTCTCTCGAAGGAAAGATCTTTCATGTTTGGAAATTTTCAGCTTGTAAATGTGAAGCTGGATCACGCATCAATCACCAGAGAGCTTCGTGTACGCGACGCAGTCTCGGAAGTTGCCGCTATCACTGGAGAAAATGTGAGACTTCGAAGAGCTTTCTATATATCTTCGCAACGAGGGATCGTGTCCTCGTATTTGCACATGAGTCCGGCATCAGGTACTTGTAAAATTCCACTGTTTGCTCCGTTTCTCACAGATTTATTTTGAAAGGTTTATCTCGGCTCGCGGGGCTCGTTTCGCTCGAGGTTGAACATGATCAAGAAGGCTCGCATTCGGAAACACTGAAAAGCTTGGGCTCGTCTCTTGCAATGCATGTTGTTGCTGCAAGGCCGCTGTTTTTGTCTAAGGAACTCGTGGACTCTGAAGTACTGGAGCATGAGCGGAACATCTGCAAAGCACAGGTGCAAGGCATTTGTTTTTCTCTGCCTTTTATTGATTGTCTATTGTTTTTTTGTTTTGTTGTTGCAGGCCTCGACTGCTGGAAAGCCAGAGAACGTCGTCCAGAAGATGGTCGAAGGCAGGCTTGCCAAATACATGGAAGAGGTTGTTCTTCTGGAGCAGAAGTACGTTGCAGACGAAACGAAACGGATCAACGTATGTCACACCATTCGAATATGTCTCATCAGGCTCACGATTTAATCTTTCAGGTTCTGCTAAAAGAGACGTCCAAAGAAATCGGGAAGACGGCCAAGATCGAGGGATTCCTACGAATAGAAGTCGGGGAGGGGATCGAAAAGTAAGCCCTTGTTACAATCCAAGCCTTCACGAACCAATTCCTGGCTTCATTTTCCCAGGCTTGAAAAGGACTTTGCTGCCGAGGTTGCTGCTGCAGCACGATGACAGGTTCGATATTCAAAACAAGTAGGTGGTTTTATTCGAATCAAATCATTATCTCGAGGACAAGACGCAATGAAATAACGAATTGGAAGGTACTTCTTTCTCGCTGGAGTTAACTGACTTAGTTCTTGGTGCAGTGAGCCTTGCTCCATTTCCAGCCATACGGACAGCGATGGCAATCGTTGTTATACCAATACCAGTCACTGGGGCAGCTCACACACTTGCTTCCACTCCACTTCCATCCGGACGGGCATTGGTGGCACTTGTTGTTGTACCAGTACCAGTTGCTCGGGCAGCTCACGCATTTGCTTCCACTCCACTTCCAACCGGAGAGGCATCTGTGGCAATCGTTGCTATACCAGTACCAGCCTTTGGGACACTGGATGCACTTGTGGCCGTCCCAGTTCCATCCAGATTTGCATTTCTGCTGGGCTGCTGCGCTTGCGATGCCACCAACGTCCACTCCAACCAGGAGGACTGTCACAACCATGGCCAGAAGCATCAGCTGGGACTTGCTCGCCATCTTGGTAGAAGAAACTTTCGAAGTGTAGTGAGATCTCTCTCTCTCTCTCTCTCTCTCTCTCGCAAAACTTGCTGCTGTGTGGTGGATTAGAAGTGGAGGCAATTTATAGGATGGAGGAAGTGGAGACCAAGTCCAGCGAGATTGCTACAGCGTCACTCGGTTCTGACTATTTAGCCAGCATGTTATGCTTGACATAGTCGTTAGACGTAATGTATCCAATTATCACAGAAATGGTATAAATTTGACGGCAGCCAGAACACGAGACATTGATTTCTATGTGCCAAACCATGAAATAGTCGTTTTGAAAGGATCAACTTTCCTCTTTAATAAGAAAAAGCGAAAACATGAAATTTAGCTCCCACCACCTTTTCTTGAGAAGCATATGATTACTAAACCAGAAAATGAAACTTATTCAACTTTCTTGTGACTAGAACCGAATAGAAGTTAGCAAAATGCAGAAACACTCTATGCTTTCGGACTAAACAAGAAATCCGCATATGCATCACTGAATTTCTGCATTGTCCGCTCTCTCTCGTACAATTTAGTCATGCAGACACAATGTGCTAACTGCTTGATGCTTTCCAAAAACTCCTCGTTCTGATATAGAGTAACCACACAAGGCCAGAAACCAGGAAGAAATCGAGTATCAAATCTTGTCCAACTCAATAAAGTCTCCAGATTTGATGCGCTCAGTTTATCATAGGTCACCACCACCTTAAAAATTCCAGGCAAACAGACCTTGTCAATCACATCTTTTGTGACAATAACCACCGCTCTCTTGTCTTTGACCCTCTTTTTCTCCAAAGTGCTCAATTCCTCCACTACAGTTACTGTTGCCATTGTCACTCTCTTGGCATTGAAAACCTGTTTGATTTCATATGCGGTATCCTTGTCGTTACAAAAGACTAGCATTGGGGCTCCTTTAAAAGGGTGTTGTAGCATACATTTCACGGCACTTGCAAACCTGGTAGCTCTTGATTCCCTATCCACTGGGATCGCACACATGCGAAACTTGATAAGCTTTTGATTGCAGTCAGTGAAATAATCAGATGGACTGCCCAAAGCACCCGGGATTTCATGTTCAAGTCGGAGACAATGCTCTTATGCAAAGGTTTGACAGGATGAGCTTCCACTCCAATCTCATGGACTGCCATGATCTCAGCTCACACTTAGCACAGCTGGAACTCTAAGTCAATGGAACTGTTCCAGAGGATGCAACAGTGGAGCCAAATCAAGTGACTTTTATGAGTATCTTGACCAGGAGCGGTTGGTGGTCACCTGTTTCATATGGTTGATCTTCTTGGACGAGTTGGGTGCTCAAGCTGCGCAAGAGATGGGAGAGTCTAACTCTTCTCTTAAAAGCAAGGAATTGCTACCGTGTGCGATGGTGGAGAGCTTTTGGAGGATGGTGGGAGACTGAGATATGGCCTCATGATTGTGGAAGAGCACTAGATTCCTCAGATATTCCAACAGGTCCAAGGATGTGACTTTGCTTGTGGCTCAAACCCCACCCTTGTTTAGAAATTTGTTCTTGTAACTTCCCTATGGGAAATGTGAGACTGCTGGCTCGATTGTTGGCGAAGACAATCTCCACCATCACAACATTGTGGCATGGAGATTATCTTCATGAACAAACTGCTGTAACTTTTATCAGACTAGTAAGCTTTAATTTTCTTGCTCTTTTCTGTCAAATTTGTTTCACCACCTTCGGACTCTTAAAAGAAGTTGCCGTCAAGCAAGGTAGAAATGCTGGTTAACTTTCGAACTTAGAAGGACTATGCACACGGATTACGCTCCAAGCAATGCATCATGGCCCGGAAGTTGACACTCCAGTGATGTTTGTTGAAATTTGTAATCATCTTGTCCCGAAATGTTATTTTTTTCTATTGTTATCACTGACTAATTGAAACTTTTAATGCTGTAGCGCATTGATGATCGACATGACTTCAAAATCCACCCCCCGTGAGAATGTGTTTCTGGCAATAAATTCTTTATCATAAACTGAGTAATGAGATTCAGCACTTGAAAATTTATGACTTTCAAAAGCGATTACATTATTGTCTTGCATGAGCACAACACTGATTCCAGCATCACTTGCATATGTCATCACTATGAACGACTTTGCAGGATTTGGAAGAACAAAGACAGGAACCGTCGTCACTGCCATTTGCCACCCTGACGTCCAATGGTTCCTTAGTCATCAAGCCCAGCCACTGTAGCATTGCTCTTGACATGAAGTTGTGAGAACAACCATTATCTAGCAACTCTTGGCCTTTTAACTAACTTATGGCATGCAATTTGTAGCTCTGCACATGTAAATTTTTTGCACGTCCACGTGGCAAATGTTTATTCACATGAGCATCAATGACTAATCCATGACACATAACTTCTGAGGGCTCAGGAATGGCTTGGTGTGCTGGGCTCGGAGCATCGTGATCAGAGCAGCCTCAGGTTGGGAGGAGAACTCGCAGCAGTCCAAGAACCATAGCAATACTTGGATTATTGATGCCCAGATTGCAAGCATTGTGGCAGCTTGAAGCCAGGCCCAGCAGTGCACGATCAAGTGCTTAGCAATCCATCCTTCCTGTGCCAGCTCTACGTCCTGAAGAAGGTCCTAAGGATCCACAGCATGATGGCGATTGCCAAGACCTCAAGAGCATCATCCTCAACCTTTGGTCATCATGAAGGCCAGGCCTCAAGCTGCTCCACAGATAACTTGGGGCAGTCCAAGGAGATTTTCCAGCTCCAGAACCTCCGGCTCCTCCTCAGCAAGAACAATCCCGCCATGACCAAGCTCTGCGGGGATCTGCCTGCCATCCTTCACTCGCCTGTGTTGTCAATCCGGTTGAAGACACTCTCGAAGGACTCTCGTCGGCCATCCTTGTTTCGTGCTCTGGACAACTGCATGAAGGCAGCGATCTACAGCACACAAAAGAGATTCAAGTTTTTAGCACCGTTGGAGAGGAGACTTTTTGAAAGTACACAGACATCTTTGTCGCGTTTCATCTTCACCATGAGCTCGCCCTTGGTGATTTTCCTGCAAGTTACTTGGAAATTGAGTCGCTGTCCAAGTAAAAAAGGAGTTTTTGCTTACCCTGTGTTTTCAGAGTCGATCTTCATGAACATGTCCAATAACCTTTGGTACTCCTTGACTGAAATTCCCGCCGCCGCCGCTTGTGTCCTGATGTAAGCAGCATCCCTTGCATTCTTGCTGGCTGCTCTTACAGCTCCAAACGTTGTTAGCTGCTCCATCGCCCTGTTTACGCACGAAACTAAGGTTACTTCTTCTGAGAATAGAGAAAGTTTCTCCTTACCTTGCGTGAAATGTCAATGCGATGTTAAGGAATTGCTTGAGAAGTTGCTGCAAACTCCTCGCAAGTCAGCTCTCATGATAGGATGTACTTAATCCTCACCATGTAAGGCTCAAATGGATCACCAATGCCTCCCGGCCAACGAGCGTGCCACCCTTCTGCGTGTGGTTTGAGCGGTATCTCAGCTTTCCTCGCAGTCAAGAGATGCTGCATCGTTTCTGATGGAAACATCTGTGTTAAGTTAGACGCGCCTCGACTCTTTGGTCTAAGCACTTACAACTTACTCTGGGAACAAGTCCACGAGAGCCAAACTGCGGAATGGAAGCATCAAGAGCTGCGTTGAGCTGCGAGATACTGCGACCCTACCGACTGGTGAAAGTTTTCGTGGCCACGCACCACTTTATACGTGGCTTATAAACATTAGTGCCACGTGGTTTTCTTCCAGCGATGCTGACATGGATAAACTGTTAACAGTGTCCACATTGCGATCCACGCGGAGGAGTTTGGAGCTCTTGTGTTGAGATGTGGCAGATTAAATGCCCTGGAAGCAGGCAAGCTCTTGCACGCTCTGATTGCGCAGCTGCGAGTCCATGGCCGCCACTCGCTCACCAGGATCGGCAATCTTCTTGTGGAGATGTATGGCAAATGCGGCAGCACGGACGACACACGCACGGCATTCGATGCCATCGCCGACAAGAATGTCTTACCTTGGGGCTTCTTGATCGCAGCCTACGCTAGCAGGGATGAGAGATTTAATGTTCTTGGGGAGATGTGCTTGGACGGAGTGAAGCCGGAGGTTCACTCCCTCTGGTGAGGTCTTGCTTGACGCTGGAACAGGGCAACCTTGTTCGATCGCTCCTCGAGGAGTGTGGGCTTAGCAGGGATTTGCAGATTGCCACAGAGATTCGGAGGATGTGTGGATTGCTCCATGAAGCTCGTCTGGCTGTTAAGAATCTTGGACAGAAAGATTTGCTGGCCTGGAACGCGATGATCGACGCTCATGCCCAGTGCGGGCAATGCAATGAGGCATTTGCAATTTACGAGAGGATGCCTTTGCTGTGACGATCTGGGCAATGGAGAAGAGATCCATGCTTGTGTCGTGAGGAATGGGACGTTGCCATGTCCACTGCATTGGTGCGCTGCTACGGCCGCTGTGGAAATCCAGAGAAAGCAATGACTGTGTTTGAGAATTTCTCTGAAAACAAGGATGTGGGGCTAGGGACAGCGATGATCCTCTGCCTCGCTCAGAAGCAAAGGATCATGGAAGCAATTCGAGTGGAATAGCACTCCATCCTGGAACATCCTTCAACTGGACCATATTTCTCAAGTGGTGGATAAAATGTTGCCTTGTCATTCTTCCCTGCTGTTTATTCTGGGGATGCAATGATGCCGGAGAATGACAACTCTAGATTCGTTGAGTTTGCATTGGGCTGCCTGCTCTCAAACAAGGTTTCTTAGCAAGCAACTTTACGCTGGTTGCTCTCCTCCACGGATTCTCGAGTTCTTCAAGGTCTGGGATAAGCACAGGCATGATCAGCTCAAGAGCCATGGAGTTTCTGTGTTATACTGGAGGAGATGTTCTGACCAGGGATGATCTAGTTGTTGGTAAAATGCTTTGAAGTCACATGTTTTGAAGCTAGCAGTTTGAGAGATGGAACACCATGGTCCAAGACCAGCTATCCCGAAGAAGCTCTCTTGAAGGTGGTAAGGCTGATACGTTCACGTTTACCAGTTGCAAGCATGCATTGCTACAAATGAGCTTTCTTCACGATCGAGTGCCCATTTTAGGGCCTAAATCGGATCCAGTTGTGGTAGCAGAGCTTATCAACTGCTCCAAGGCCCAGAGGCTCGGTCTTGCAAGGAGTGCTTCCGAAGGGACAAATGAGATGCAGTGGTGTGGAGTTCTAGATCAGGCCATATCCAAGACGCTCTGGACATCTTCTCCCAGATGGATGCCTATGCGGAAACTGGCATGCCTCAGCCAGCGCAAGGCCTCTCATCATGCCGCTAAATCCTTCCTTCTTAAAAACCTCCATCCTGGTAGGGTTTCTAACTTATTTGAAAGAAGCAGAATTAAGAATCAAAGGTTCCAGAAGCTTATGGATAAATAAACATAAACCGTTTCTTTTCAAAAAATAAAGGTGACAAAAAAAGTATATCATTTCGAAACAATTGACGAAGCTTTCTTTCCTTTTTCTTCTGCGGATTTCTACGATGTGGAGATAATGCTAATGTTAAAGGAAGGAAGAATTATTTGTTCTTTGGATTTTTCTATAGAGGATGCGTTTACTGAGCTGAGGAAGAAGGGCCTTGCTGCCGCGACGAAGAAATCTTCTCGTGTGGCTGCGGATGGATTGCTTGGACTGGCACACTTCGAGAAAGGTGCCGCGGTCATAGAGATTAACAGCGAGACTGACTTTGTTGCTCGAAACGATCTCTTCCAGAGCCTTGTAAGTGATGGATGATCTTCTTCGGCTTTTAGTTTTGCTCACGATTTTTCCAGGTGCTGTCAGTCGCAAAAGCGGCATCCACATTGGAAGCTGTCCAACAATTTTCTTCTAAACCAGCTGCTCTTGATTTGCACGATTTAGAGGTAAGTCTGTTCTCTCGAAGGAAAGATCTTTCATGTTTGGAAATTTCCAGCTTGTAAATGTGAAGCTGGATCACGCATCAATCACCAGAGAGCTTTGTGTACGCGACGCAGTCTCGGAAGTTGCCGCTATCACTGGAGAAAATGTGAGACTTCGAAGAGCTTTCTATATATCTTCGCAAAGAGGGATCGTGTCCTCGTATTTGCACATGAGTCCGGCATCAGGTGCTTGTAAATTCCACTGTTTGCTCGTTTCTCACAAATTTATTCTGAAAGGCTTATCTCGGCTCGCGGGGCTCGTTGCGCTCGAGGTTGAAGATGATCAAGAAGGCTCGCATTCGGAAACACTGAAAAGCTTGGGCTCGTCTCTTGCAATGCATGTTGTTGCTGCAAGGCCTCTGTTTTTGTCTAAGGAACTCGTGGACTCTGAAGTACTGGAGCATGAGCGGAACATCTGCAAAGCACAGGTGCAAGGCATTTGTTATTTTTCTGCCTTTTATTGATTGTCTATTGTTTTTCTGTTTTGTTGTTGCAGGCCTCGACTGCTGGAAAGCCAGAGAACGTCGTCCAGAAGATGGTCGAAGGCAGGCTTGCCAAATACATGGAAGAGGTTGTTCTTCTGGAGCAGAAGTACGTTGCAGACGAAACGAAATGGATCAACGTATGTCACACCATTCGAATATGTCTCATCAGGCTCACGATTTGATCTTTCAGGTTCTGCTAAAAGAGACGTCCAAAGAAATCGGGAAGACGGCCAAGATCGAGGGATTCCTGCGAATAGAAGTCGGGGAGGGGATCGAAAAGTAAGTCCTTGTTACAATCCAAGCCTTCACGAACCAATTCCTGGCTTCACTTTCCCAGGCTTGAAAAGGACTTTGCTGCCGAGGTTGCTGCTGCAGCACGATGACAGGTTCGATATTCAAAACAAGTAGGTGGTTTTATTCGAATCAAATCAATTGCCAAAGACGCTGGCACATTATCTCGAGGACAAGATGCAATGAAATAACGAATTGGAAGGTACTTCTTTCTCGCTGGAGTTAACTGACTTAGTTCTTGGTGCAGTGAGCCTTGCTCCATTTCCAGCCATACGGACAGCGGTGGCAATCGTTGTTATACCAATACCAGTCACTGGGGCAGCTCACACACTTGCTTCCACTCCACTTCCATCCGGACGGGCATTGGTGGCACTTGTTGTTGTACCAGTACCAGTTGCTCGGGCAGCTCACGCATTTGCTTCCACTCCACTTCCAACCGGAGAGGCATCTGTGGCAATCGTTGCTATACCAGTACCAGCCCTTGGGACACTGGATGCACTTGTGGCCGTCCCAGTTCCATCCAGATTTGCATTTCTGCTGGGCTGCTGCGCTTGCGATGCCACCAACGTCCACTCCAACCAGGAGGACTGTCACAACCATGGCCAGAAGCATCAGCTGGGACTTGCTCGCCATCTTGGTAGAAGAAACTTTCGAAGTGTAGTGAGATCTCTCTCTCTCTCGCAAAACTTGCTGCTGTGTGGTGGATTAGAAGTGGAGGCAATTTATAGGATGGAGGAAGTGGAGACCAAGTCCAGCGAGATTGCTACAGCGTCACTCGGTTCTGACTATTTAGTCAGCATGTTATGCTTGACATAGTCGTTAGACGTAATGTATCCAATTATCACAGAAATGGTATAAATTTGACGGCAGCCAGAACACGAGACATTGATTTCTATGTGCCAAACCATGAAATAGTCGTTTTGAAAGGATCAACTTTCCTCTTTAATAAGAAAAAGCGAAAACATGAAATTTAGCTCCCACCACCTTTTCTTGAGAAGCATATGATTACTAAACCAGAAAATGAAACTTTATTCAACTTTCTTGTGACTAGAACCAAATAGAAGTTAGCAAAATGCAGAAACGATCTATGCTTTCGGACTAAACAAGAAATCCGCATATGCATCACTGAATTTCTGCATTGTCCGCTCTCTCTTGTACAATTTAGTCATGCAGACACAATGTGCTAACTGCTTGATGCTTTCCAAAAACTCCTTGTTCTGATATAGAGTAACCACAGAAGGCCAGAAACGAGGAAGAAATCGAGTATCAAATTTTGTCCAACTCAATAAAGTCTCCAGATTTGATGTGCTCAGTTTATCAAACTTTATTTCTCTCCCTTTAAACCAATTGAAAAAGGGATAATAACTTGATGAGAGAGCCCATTTTATCCCCATTTATCTCCCTCCCAAGGTTCCAAAGATCCACGGTGACAGTATATTCAAATTTCATTCTATAATCACATGCGCTACACTCACCCCCCTTCAAAGATGTCAATGTCCTCATTGACTATTGATTACCAACCCCTACTGAGCCAAAGGGAACTAACACTTCCATTTCCACACTAAATCTACCAATCCCTCCATTGTGTAGATCAACTATTCCATCTAAGACAATTAGTCATCCACTTGTACTGTAATCCCATGGTGAATACCTTCGTCTAAGATGTTCCACAAAAGGAAGGACATACGCATATGTACGATTTTCAAATTTAGGAGTAGAAATATACCTTGCTCAAGGGTATATTATATTTTAGATAGCCCCTAATCAATGAGAATCAAACTTGTGCCATTTGCTCTGATACCAATTATAGCGAGATCATAGGTCACCACCACCTTAAAAATTCTAGGCAAACAGACCTTGTCAATCACATCTTTTGTGACAATAACCACTGCCCTCTTGTCTTTGACCCTCTTTTTCTCCAAAGTGCTCAATTCCTCCACTATAGTTACTGTTGCCATTGTCACTCTCTTGGCATCCAAAACCTGTTTGATTTCATACGCGGTATCCTTGCCATTACAAAACACTAGCATTGGGGCTCCTTTAAAAGGGTGTTGCAGCATACATTTCACGGCACTTGCAAACCTGGTAGCTCTTGATTCCCTATCCACTGGGATCGCACACATGCGAAACTTGATAAGCTTTTGATTGCAGTCAGTGAAATAATCAGATGGACTGCCCAAAGCACCCATGCCGCTAAATCCTTCCTTCTTAAAAACCTCCATCCTGGTAGGGTTTCTAACTTATTTGAAAGAAGCAGAATTAGGCGTAATAAGAATCAAAGGTTCCAGAAGCTTATGGATAAATAAACATAAACCGTTTCTTTTCAAAAAATAAAGGTGACAAAAAAAGTATCATTTCGAAACAATTGACGAAGCTTTCTTTCCTTTTTCTTCTGCGGATTTCTACGATGTGGAGATAATGCTAATGTTAAAGGAAGGAAGAATTATTTTTTCTTTGGATTTTTCTATAGAGGATGCGTTTACTGAGCTGAGGAAGAAGGGCCTTGCTGCCGCGACGAAGAAATCTTCTCGTGTGGCTGCGGAAGGATTGCTTGGACTGGCACACTTCGAGAAAGGTGCCGCGGTCATAGAGATTAACAGCGAGACTGACTTTGTTGCTCGAAACGATCTCTTCCAGAGCCTTGTAAGTGATGGATGATCTTCTTCGGCTTTTAGTTTTGCTCACGATTTTTCCAGGTGCTGTCAGTCGCAAAAGCGGCATCCACATTGGAAGCTGTCCAACAATTTTCTTCTAAACCAGCTGCTCTTGATTTGCACGATTTAGAGGTAAGTCTGTTCTCTCGAAGGAAAGATCTTTCATGTTTGGAAATTTCCAGCTTGTAAATGTGAAGCTGGATCACGCATCAATCACCAGAGAGCTTTGTGTACGCGACGCAGTCTCGGAAGTTGCCGCTATCACTGGAGAAAATGTGAGACTTCGAAGAGCTTTATATATGTCTTCGCAAAGAGGGATCGTGTCCTCGTATTTGCACATGAGTCCGGCATCAGGTACTTGTAAATTCCACTGTTTGCTCGTTTCTCACAGATTTATTCTGAAAGGTTTATCTCGGCTCGCGGGGCTCGTTTCGCTCGAGGTTGAAGATGATCAAGAAGGCTCGCATTCGGAAACACTGAAAAGCTTGGGCTCGTCTCTTGCAATGCATGTTGTTGCTGCAAGGCCGCTGTTTTTGTCTAAGGAACTCGTGGACTCTGAAGTACTGGAGCATGAGCGGAACATCTGCAAAGCACAGGTGCAAGGCATTTGTTTTTCTCTGCCTTTTATTGATTGTCTATTGTTTTTTTGTTTTGTTGTTGCAGGCCTCGACTGCTGGAAAGCCAGAGAACGTCGTTCAGAAGATGGTCGAAGGCAGGCTTGCCAAATACATGGAAGAGGTTGTTCTTCTGGAGCAGAAGTACGTTGCAGACGAAACGAAACGGATCAAAGTAAGTCACATCATTCGAATGTGTCTCATCAGCCTCAGGATTTGATCTTTCAGGTCCTGCTAAAAGAGACGGCCAAAGAAATCGGGAAGACGGCCAAGATCGAGGGATTCCTGCGAATAGAAGTCGGGGAGGGGATCGAAAAGTAAGTCCTTGTTACAATCCAAGCCTTCACGAACCAATTCTTGGCTTCATTTTCCCAGGCTTGAAAAGGACTTTGCTGCCGAGGTTGCTGCTGCAGCACGATGACAGGTTCGATATTCAAAACAAGTAGGTGCTTTTATTCGAATCAAATCAATTGCCAAAGACGCTGGCACATTATCTCGAGGACAAGACGCAATGAACTAACGAATTGGAAGGTACTTCTTTCTCGCTGGAGTTAACTGACTTAGTTCTTGGTGCAGTGAGCCTTGCTCCATTTCCAGCCATACGGACAGCGGTGGCAATCGTTGTTATACCAATACCAGTCACTCGGGCAGCTCACACACTTGCTTCCACTCCACTTCCATCCGGACGGGCATTGGTGGCACTTGTTGTTGTACCAGTACCAGTTGCTCGGGCAGCTCACGCATTTGCTTCCACTCCACTTCCAACCGGAGAGGCATCTGTGGCAATCGTTGCTATACCAGTACCACCCTTTGGGACACTGGATGCACTTGTAGCCGTCCCAGTTCCATCCAGACTTGCATTTCTGCTGGGCTGCTGCGCTTGCGATGCCACCAACGTCCACTCCAACCAGGAGGACTGTCACAAACATGGCCAGAAGCATCAGCTGGGACTTGCTCGCCATCTTGGTAGAAGAAACTTTCGAAGTGTAGTGAGATATCTCTCTCTCTCTCTCTCTCTCTCTCTCTCGCAAAACTTGCTGCTGTGTGGTGGATTGGAAGTGGAGGCAATTTATAGGATGGAGGAAGTGGAGACCAAGTCCAGCGAGATTGCTACAGCGTCACTCGGTTCTGACTATTTAGCCAGCATGTTATGCTTGACATAGTCGTTAGACGTAATGTATCCAATTATCACAGAAATGGTATAAATTTGACGGCAGCCAGAACACGAGACATTGATTTCTATGTGCCAAACCATGAAATAGTCGTTTTGAAAGGATCAACTTTCCTCTTTAATAAGAAAAAGCGAAAACATGAAATTTAGCTCCCACCACCTTTTCTTGAGAAGCATATGATTACTAAACCAGAAAATGAAACTTATTCAACTTTCTTGTGACTAGAACCGAATAGAAGTTAGCAAAATGCAGAAACGACCTATGCTTTCGGACTAAACAAGAAATCCGCATATGCATCACTGAATTTCTGCATTGTCCGCTCTCTCTCGTACAATTTAGTCATGCAGACACAATGTGCTAACTGCTTGATGCTTTCCAAAAACTCCTCGTTCTGATATAGAGTAACCACACAAGGCCAGAAACCAGGAAGAAATCGAGTATCAAATTTTGTCCAACTCAATAAAGTCTCCAGATTTGATGCGCTCAGTTTATCATAGGTCACCACCACCTTAAAAATTCCAGGCAAACAGACCTTGTCAATCACATCTTTTGTGACAATAACCACCGCTCTCTTGTCTTTGACCCTCTTTTTCTCCAAAGTGCTCAATTCCTCCACTAAAGTTACTGTTGCCATTGTCACTCTCTTGGCATCCAAAACCTGTTTGATTTCATATGCAGTATCCTTGTCGTTACAAAAGACTAGCATTGGGGCTCCTTTAAAAGGGTGTTGTAGCATACATTTCACGGCACTTGCAAACCTGGTAGCTCTTGATTCCCTATCCACTGGGATCGCACACATGCGAAACTTGATAAGCTTTTGATTGCAGTCAGTGAAATAATCAGATGGACTGCCCAAAGCACCCATGCCGCTAAATCCTTCCTTCTTAAAAACCTCCATCCTGGTAGGGTTTCTAACTTATTTGAACGAAGCAGGCCTAATAGCTTATGGATAAATAAACATAAACCGTTTCTTTTCAAAAAATAAAGGTGACAAAAAAGTATCATTTCGAAACAATTGACGAAGCTTTCTTTCCTTTTTCTTCTGCGGATTTCTACGATGTGGAGATAATGGACTTCGACCGTTGCAGCCGTTACAGCCCGGACGAAGACGATGCTTGGGTGTTGGCGAGGCTTTCCAAAAGCTTTCGGCTGGCCACTACTTCCGGAAGTTTGAGGTTTTCGAGCAAGAGTTTGCTGGCATTGCAAGGCTCTACAGGCCCAGCTGGAGATGTTTTCAGGGATTGAAGAAGGGAGTGATGCAGATGAAGACAGTGACTTGTCGTTTGAGTTTGTTAGTGTTTTCAACTTCTCTGTTTGTTGTTTCTTTATTTCAATGGAAACTTGGTATAGCGCGAGAGTTAAAATGGATAAACAAATTGGTCCCTTGAAAGTTTGCATCCGGGAAGTCTGATCGTGATTCAGTTGACGCTTTGGTTCATCCAGCAGGGTTTTGCTTCAAGTTTTCAAGAACAAACTAAAACACGAGAAGGGGACTCATGAAACAAGAACCATGAACAAAGGAAAAATTGATTGCCAATGCACGTAACAAACAAAAAGTTGTACCCGGAACAAAAATACGTCTGTTGTCTTCTTGCTAGGTGCTGCTCCTATTATTTCATCGGAAAAATCAAAAATTAGTGTTGAGACCACCCTTGCTAAGCTCAAGATGTTGAATTCACCGCGTCGTGGGTATCAATCCCTCTATCTACCGCCACTGTACCCGATTCCGCCGAGCCAGTCATGGAAGAAGACTTCAATCCTTTGAAGTATGTCGAGTAAGGAAAGAGCTGCGCGCAGCGAGCGCGCCATCCTGTTCAGAAAGAATAACACTTCAGTCATAACGAATCCAAAACCAGTTTTCGAGGCCTACTCTCAGCGGCATCTGGATCATCAAGCACTGATTGTAGCTTCTTGTGCACCGTCATGCATTGCTTGAGCTCCCATTTCTCTTCGCCACTGCAAAAACGAAACGTTTGAGACGAGAATCCTCTGCAGTTACCACATACCTTGAATCCAAAACAATTTTTACGGAGGCATCTTTTTCGCCAGGAGATAGCAGTTGGAGGACCTCGGCTGCGACGACTCTATGTAGCAGCGAATCTAAAAATGGTAGAAGGCATTAGGAAAGCTCATAGGAGATGGAAAATTGATCGTACCAGTATGACAGTCCAAGAAGTCCTTATTTATCTCTAACAGAGTTCTGTTCCCAAAATCCCTGCCAAGCAAAAGAAGCGACAATGAGTTTGCTTTAGACATTGAAAAACCAAGACCTTAGCAAAGATCGCTCCGCAGCGACCACTTCCCAAACCAGCTTGTCCGTAGAATCAGGTTCTGGCTTGTTGTCCACCATGTTATAAAAACGACACTGCAGACAATTCTTCAAACATTTGTTCCGAGAACAACAAGAGAAAGAAATACCAGGCAGTGATGAATGTCAGGATGGTCACTGTTCACTCTGATGAGCCTCTTGATAGCCTGTGGGACAGTTTAAGCCAGGATGAAAAATGTTTGCACAAACCAACCTGGAATGCCAGGAGAACTTTTTGCCGACGCATGTAAATCTCAAAAGCAAGAAGATGTGTTTCAAGCGAGTCCGGTGAGTGCATTTGCAAGAGTTTCAAATACTTCAATGCCTCGCCCAGGGGATCTTCCACCTGAAATCCAGTTCAGCACACAGCTGAAAGCCAGTAAAAGTACTTACATGAACAAGCTGCTCGCCGTCGGGATCGTTATCAAAAGGTTTCGGCGCCTGGGTTCCTTTCTTTGCACCTTTGCTGGCATTCGATGCCTTCTCTTCCTCCTTGGCCTTCTCGGCTTCCTAATAACAGAGGACACTTGTAACCGAATGTGTCATATGCATAAAACCGACCTTTTTAGCTCGAGCTTCTGCTTTTCTGCTCTTTTGACGCAGCTTCTTCCGTTCTGAAGGAGTCAATCCAGCATTGACTGCTTCTTCCTCCACCGCGGTCTTCGGTGGCGAATCATATATACATAAATAGCACCTGAATCAAGAATGTCAATACGGAGTCATCACTGAACCGAAACGGACCGTATGGCGCTGCAAGCAGCTCGGTAGAAAAAGGGAAACGAGTGCAGACGGTCTTGAAATCTCAGCATATGAACGTATGCGCGCAAAGTCATTTTACGAAGACAGTACGTGTGGAAGTCAAATTGGTCCTCCGTCATATCATTGTAATGCTTCTCCACGGCCACAAACTTTTTCAAAGCTTTGCCTAAAGCTCCTTGTCGAAAATGACTGTCTCCGGATGCCAGCTCGTACCTAAGGCGAGGACTTTTAGAGCATCTAAAACACAAAAAAAATACTTACCACATGCACTGCATGTCATACAGATTGTTATGTTGATCGCCATCCTTGGTGAAGAGCGCGGCAGTTTTCTCGGCAAGTTCAACCTGGTCGGCTTGCAACATGCGCTTCACGCATTCGCTATTTACAAATCTGTCAGCAAGGTCCATTGTCCTTGCCTCGTCAGCTAAGGATGCCGCAGCAACGGGATCACCGGCATGCTTTAATATCCTTCCCTGCAAGAAGAGACCCGGTGAGAACGCTTCAACTGTACCTTCCATACCTTCACAAGATATAAGTCAATTGCCGTAGGCGTATGCTTGATCGCCTCGTCTATCTTCTCCACGGCGCGTTCAACGTCCCTTTTACGGTCAAAATGCTGCAACAACTCGCATCAGAAATGCTTCTACCTGCTGAAGTACAAACCTGCGCCAACAGATAAAGTATCCACATGAAAGCAGACGGAGGTTCTTTCTCAGTGCTACAAAGAAAACGTTAAAACCCAAACGCAGAGAAAATAGTTCGGTACCTCGAGGGAAAACATCCAGTTTTTCTCAAAGAATCTTCAAACTCCAAAATGACCTCCTCTAGAATGATGGCCTGTTGCAGAAACACTATTTAGATCGAAGCAAGAGGCAAGCAAATATTTACCCGGCTTGAAGAAGAATAAAGAGGACGCAGTGCTGAAAATAGCGATGGTACTCCCTGAATCACGATTGTAAAACATTTATGATTTCACTACGGCAGGAATCATACCTTTCTTAGAAATGGTCTAATATACTTGTCTAGTGCTCTGCGGAACGAATCTCCCTCCAAAAAATCCAATGGCATGCGCTGAAGACAAAATTTCCCAGCACAAGCAACCAACCTGTCATTTAATGTTCATGTTCTTAGATTGAAAGGGGGATAGTTAGGAACATCAACCCCTTGAAAACAAAACAAGCTAACTAGTAAAATTGAAAAAAGGTTAGGCAGTACCTTGGCAACAGCAGAATCTGGATGCTTTGTCCTAAGATCGTCGTAGAGCAGAACGAGCTTCGCAGTGTCCTCCTCCGTCCGCGCATCATGTTGCGATATGCCAATACATTTTTGCAGGCTTTCGTGGTACCTGCATTGACACGAGTATTGAGGAGTCAGTGGATAGCAAATGTATCGACTAGCTTACGTAGTATTGTCAGGACAAATTTCAATCAGGTTCCTGTACCCTTTCTCGGCTTCTTCAAAACGATTCAGCTTCAATAACAAACCAGCCGTCACCTCCTTTACACCAAGCTTATCAACCTGAAAATGAGAGCAATGTATGAGTGACCAATCACAAAACCGATTACACACAATTTTAGCCTGCTTATTTCTCAACTCTTCCAACGCTTTTTCTAATGCTCCTGATTCTTCCAAAAGAGACACCTGGTAGAGGCGGCATTAGTTTCCATTCGCGTCCATAAAAACGCACCTTGTACAAAAGCATTTCGCTATGCTCATAACGCTCGTTATCCGGAGGAAAATCTTCTTCAAGCGTCCCTTCATAAGCCTGAAGAATCTCGACAGCAATATCGGCTCTAGCACGATTACAATATGAGCACCGTATTCCAATCAGTACAGACTACAGAATATTACCGGCTGTTTAAATGCTGCGCAATGGCGAAACATATCCAGTTGTTCCGATGGTTAGGCTTTAAAGTTAGCAGCTGCCTCCTCGTTTCCACAAAGCCGTCGAGGTCCCTCATTTGCACCTGGCACAGAACAATTGTAACAAAACTGTCTTGAGGCAAAGCCTCTACACTACTTACTTGCAGCAGAGACAGATCCCTGAGTATCTGAATGGGCTTGTTCTCCGGATCTATTCTAAGCGCATTGCGGTAGCATTTTATAGCTTCGCGGTATTCCCTGTCGGAGCGGTAGAGAAGGCCATAGACATGCCAGCAAACATGGCTCTTCACATCGTTCTGATACCAAACATTGTTCTATATCATGTATATATAAGATTACAGAAAAACAGTACCTTCAATCCTTTGCGAACCAGCTCGTAAGCCTCGGTCTTTCGATCCATACAATTTAGCGTCAATCCTTTCATCGCCAAAGTCTCTGTTTTGAGAGCATAACAAAGAAGAAAAAAATTAGATACTAAAACTCGCAGAGAAGGAACTCTACCTCCATGCTCCGGAAATTTTTTGAGAATCTGGTCAGCTGCCTTGAGGCCTTTCTTGTACTGCTTCGTCTCATAGGATTTCTGGATAGAGGAAGAGAAAATCGCTTAAACCCTAAACCCCCCAGAGAATTTCTTTCACTTACAACAATGAGCTTGAAGAGATTTGCCTCCTTGGGAGGCAATGACGTTCCCATTGCGCGCTCCACCGGTCGACGCTCGCGCGCCTACAATTTTGCGCAGCGAGCAGCAGCAAATAGCAGTAGAAAGACACGCCGTCGCCTCACGCCGGCACGGCTTGGAAAAACCCTAGCTACTGAGACTCAAGAGCCCTAAAAATCATTTGGAAGAAAAGAGAAACCCAATTAGGGCTTTTAGATGGCGGACGAAGCTCCCGGGGCCAAGCGATGGCTGCCGCTCGAGGCCAATCCCGACATCATGAATCAGGTGAGACGCGCATTGCATTTTTCTCGATCCGATCGGCATCGGCGCGATTGCGGCAGCTCAAGAAATTTTGGTTTTGGTTTTCCTCTCTTGCAGTTTTGCCACAGCCTCGGATTGAGCGAAGCTGCTGCTTTCTACGATGTCTATGGCTTTGATGATGATCTGCTGGCTATGGTTCCGGCGCCTGTGCTCGCCGTGCTCTTTCTTTACCCGATCAATGCCGAGGTAAGCAGAAAATATGTTTTTTTGGGGATTTTTGAGTTTAATTCTTTGCTGGTCCATTCTTTTGCAGTCGGAAGCTGCGAGTAAATCCCAGGAAGAAAAACTTCGTCGAGAGGGACAGAAGTTTAGTCTTTGTTTTTCTTTCTTTGTTCTTGTTGATAGAGGAACTCATCTCGTTTCCTATTTTTCTTTCCTTGTAACAGGTGAGCGAGAGCGTTTATTTCATGAAACAGACAGTCGGGAATGCTTGTGGCACCATCGGTCTGCTACATGCGATTGGAAACAACACTTCTCAAATTCAGCACGGCAAGTCCCCTCTATATCGATCATCTCTAGTTTTACAGTACTAAAATCTTTCCAGCAGAGGGGTCGTACTTCAAACGTTTTTTTGAGTCGACCAGCAAGTTATCTCCTTCTGAAGTACATTGGCATGGTTGAGTTCTTCCTTATTGATTTCTTCTTCTTTTTTTGTTTTAGAGAGCGAGCTATCTCGAAAACGATAGGGAACTCGAGGGTGCTCACTGCGTCGCAGCAGCTGCCGGAGACACTGCGGTAATCAATTCATCAAAGTTTTGATCTTTCTTGTCATTGAAAAACTGGTTTTTTCAGCCTCCAGCGATCGACACTCCAGTGAACCTGCATTTCATTTGCTTTGTCTGCGTGGATGGTACGTGCAAACGTCGCTCAAAAATAATCTAAACTTATTTCATTCTCTTGCCTAGGTGGTCTCTACGAGCTAGATGGCCGTAAAGAACAACCAGTCTACCATGGCCCTTCCTCTCCATCATCAGTGCTCAAGGTAACACAAGCTTGTGATCACATCAAACAAGTTCTCTAGACACTCTTCTCTCCAGGATTCCGTGAAAGTCATCCAAAACTTCGTCTCCATGAACCCCGGATCGCTAGACTTCAACGTCATTTCTCTCTCCAAGACCGAGAATCCGGAAACTTAGCACCAGCGTAAGCAAAGTGCTTAGTTTTACAGTCTTCAGGGAAAAGAGAACAAGATCTTTCAATGCAAAGGAAAGTTTTGTCCATCTCTTCTCGAGTGCAAGCACAGATCCTTGGGCGACATCCCGTCCCAAATCTCCCACCCTCGCTGGAACTCCTCATTCTGCTCGATACAGTCCGCCAGCGACGCGTTGCCGAGCCTCATCCGAATCTCCGCGGCCTCCCTCCCGGAGGCCCTGTCAAACACCGCCTCCCAGCCATCCTCCCACGCCTGCTTCGACGCATCGCACAGCTCCAGCGTCACTCCATCCGTGGGAATCCACCCGGACCTGTCCACGCTCCACCACCCCGTGTTCCTGTACAGCTTCCTCACGATCCGGTTGGACTCTCGTTGCCCGGCCTTGGGAGTGCACGGTCTGCAGTAAGCTCCGTTGAGAGGACCTTTGCTGAGGATGGACGCCACTGGGGTCTCGAGCACCGGCCAGGGGAAGTTCCGGTGGCTCAAGATGCAAAACGGCAGCATCTCTTTCGCCACCCGGATGCCCGAGACACGGAGGTGGACCTCGAACACGCGCTCCGAGTGGATGTTGCGGTAGCCTTGCGCGTGGAGACTGGGGAGGATGCTGAGCCGGTTGATGGTGGCCATGGTCGTCTGCCGGTCCCCAGCACCGAGCCTGTCGTTGAGACCGCCAAAGTCGTAACCATACGGCACCGTGTAGACTCCGGGACGAAAGATGGTGGCCGGGAGTGGCGCGGTCCAGTAGCCGTCCAGCCTTGTCCTCACGATCCATTTGTACTGGAAGCCGTGCATCTTTTCGTAGGCCACGATGAGCTGCATGCAGCCTTCGACCAGGCTGAAGTACTGCAGGAGGCCCTGAGAAAGCAAGAGTTTTTGAGAAGGCAAGAACAAAGTTCCTCGTTTTCCACTTACTTGGACGCCGTTTGGAGAGCTTTTCGACTTGAGCAGCTCCTTGTGCATCGTGCTCTCGAGCATGTCATACGCCCTGAAGATCCTGGCGATCCGGAAGCGGGCGTTGACCCCGAGCAGTGCGATCTTCCAGGTGTTCTCGTCCAGCGGGACATTGAGGAAGATATCAGCGTCCTTGTGTGCGTCGATGACGAACTTCCGGATGCTCGGACCGGTTAGCTCGAAGTGTCGCAGCTGTCCCAACAGGCAAATCGCAACACGGGAGGCATTGCCATCGTGGTCGCTGCTGCTGCTGCCGCTGCTGCTTCCCGGTGCTGAAACGCGAGTAGCGACCTGGAATGAAAAACGAAGAGAGAAAGGATTAGAATCGCATTGTCAATAAGTTTAATAAGAGTCTACCTTTGGAGGAGAGTAGTGCTGCTGAAAAGTGTCAAATGCCACCCGACCAATCGTAAACAAGAATATGAATCCCAAAAGAACAAAACGCTCTGGATACATTGCCTCATCACATACGGTGGTTGTGTGTCGTAGGATATTCCTTCACAACCGCCGGAACCATGCGGCCGCCGACGTGGGAAGGAGAATCTATTATCACTTGTTTGTTTAACTCTTGCTTTCAGCCGAATTATCAATAGCTTCTGCTGAAAAGGCCTCACTGGACTGATGTTAATAATCCGCCAAAAAATAAGAAAAAAACTATATCATGCTTAAAGACGATACTCCCCGGCTTACGCAAGGATCTGGCGCTGGGTTTGTACCGAGCCGCTTTCTCCTGTAGAACAGGACATACGCTGCCGTTGTTTTTATGGAATCGGGGCTCATGGGATTAACGCAGCTGTCGTCAAAGTTGTACCATTTGTTCTCGTTGCACAACTGAAAATAGACTGGACGTCAGCTACGAAAGGAAAAAAAAAAAGAAAAGAAAATAAAACCTTTGCATATGCAGTGTAATGACCGCCACCCACGCCTCCGTAGTGATTGCTCACGGCGAAAAGCTCGTATGGATCTGTCCGGTGTGATACGTACTTGCTCAAATCCAAGTCGTGCACAGGGAAGTCCACCAGCGTTTCCAGCTTGTTTGAGTACCGACTGTAAGAGAACCTTTTCAGGTGGACCACCAGAATCTCTGGCAACCTCCAGAGATCCAGCTTCTTGCTTGCTTGACGGTGTTCTTTACATTTCGGGCAGAACCTGCAATCGCACGTAATTCCAAAGCTCAAAGCGTGAAGAAAAAAAGAAAACGTTTTAGAAGCTTACCACATGTCATCCGGTCCCAAAGGTTCCTCTCTCATGAATGCCTCTAGGCAAGCGTACAAGGATATTGGTTCTCGCCTTCTTGAATCGGGGATAGTTACTGGAGCCAGGTTCTCTAGCTCTTTGAAGCCATACTGATCCTTAGCGCTTGGGGACCATACTAAAATCAAATATCTGTGTTCTCTCGGCGAAAAGTTGAACGTAGGGAGTGGCATATGTGGGTCTATTAGCAGATCCACCGTAGAGGCCTTGTCATCTGTTATAAACAAACGAAATGGCCAATCTTCCGGAGAACTGTTCACTTCGGCTTCCCGCTTCAACGGACTCACAACCTTGGCAACGAGATTGTAAAGCTCAGCACCCTCACTAAGCCCCGCTTCAGGTATGGCAGTGACAAGTGGAGAACCATAAAGCTTAAACTGCTTTCCTATTGTCCTGCACGAAAATTCATATGTTACATGCCTCAGAAAGTAAAAACAGAGAAAACTTACTCCTCAAGAGTGCCATGGTAAAGAATAAGCTTCGTTGTTTTGCCAGGGAACGACTTTAGCCTAAACGCAGCCAGACGATCCCCATTAGCTAGTGAAAGTGGAGCACTGGGACATTCAGAAATTACACGATAGATCCGATTATTATATACCTGCAATAGAACAGGAAAATAAAAGGTTATGAGTGAACGGAACAATAAGGATCCCATTACCTCCACAACGAACAGATATTCGTTTTCTTCTAGAGTGCAAGCCACGCTTAATGCGTGAATAAGATCCTTAGGACGTGCTTGCTTGGGTCCGGGTATTTGAACCGTATGAACCTCCGGAGAAGCACTCCCATCTCCACTGAACACCGTGACTGCTACGCTCATCAGTTGTTGTTTCTCTGGTAACGGCAAGGATAGATACATGAAGGGGTCAAATGTAACCGATACTTTCGCGCAAACGGGGCAGACCAAAGTCGATTTGTATTGTCCCTGCAAATAAAACACCTTAGTTGCCGTATTAGATATAAAAGTACGAACACAAACCTGGAAAAGGTCCACAATAATCGAGTTGTTGCGCGCCTTATGGATTGCCCAGTACTCATCTGCAACCTCTCCATCCGGTCGTCCATCAATATCTTTAACTTCAATATATGGCTTTGATTTTACGCGATTCAAATCTTCGTGCAGTCCATCCAGAAGAAAGGCCAGGAGCTCCTGTACGATGACACATCGTTAGTAGCTGTATTCTAAGATACTACAATCAAACAAACCTGCGAATCATGTTGATTGTATCCACTAAACTGTGGAGCGAATCGAGAAAGCTTGTTTTTGAACGGACGCGGCACGACAACTTCTCTTCCTGCCCATAGCTTCCTTATAAGCTCTCCAAACGCCACAGCCAGTTCACCCTGTGAAAAGAAAAGAAAAGATGGGAAAAAGAAAACACTTACGCTAGAATCTAGGACCACGCCCCAGTCATTCATACAAAAGGAATACCTTACTCCTAACTCCGCCGTTGCCCATCCTAGGTAGCTGACTGGCAGTAGCAAAAAGCAATCTATAACCCCATTGCAGCGTCCTTTTGCATGTCTGAAACACTCAGTAAAATCACTATCTTTTTCTTTCTTTGGACATGCAAGACCGCTCTTGACACCCAAGAACACAAAGCCAGCAACAGTGAAAGGAAACCGTACCTCCATCCCGAGTGGGTTCGCCGGATTGATCTCGTCATCATAATCCTGGAGGAAGTACTCCACGAGCTCCGGAGTGTGAGCCAGGCACTGGAGAGCACTGTTCATGAAGCAAGTGTTCCCGAGATTCTGGAGGCCAGCAAGACCCCTGCTGCCATTCCGGCTGCCACTGCTAGAACCCCCAAAGAAGTCGTCGTTCTCCTTCTCAACCTCCAGACCAAAGTTTTGATGCTTCACGGGAGAAACATCCGAGGAGCGCCCACCCATGAGTCCAACAGACACATCTGGAGTGGAAGCGCTAGCACCCTCGAGAGGCACCACGGCCAGCCGTTCTTCCTCGGCCCAATTCTCGCTCAACACCTACAAGCAAACCCAAAATCACTGTGCCATCGAGAATTTTCCGCAATGGCCACGAACCTCCTGTCCCATTGGCGATATATCATCGCCCGCTCTACGATCCAGTGATGAATCCGGGCCTAAATCGTCGCGTATCGCCAGATCTAGAGCTGCGACGCGACAGAAAAGCGCTGTGAGCCTAGATCTGGCACGGAGAGAGCCTACCGCAAGGATACCGCCTCGCCGTTGCCGCACGCCCAATCGATCCACGTACCTCGCACAACCACAATCCCTAACCCTAGTCCAGGAATAAGAGAAAAATGGGGGAAGGAAAGGAAAAAACAGGGAAGATCTCCATTTCATCCGTACATTCCATCCGTATAAATAGGGCTAAAAAATATTTCCGATCGATCGTGCTATAGCGGCGGCGAGCAGAGAAATCCTGGGCGCGATCGCGCGACCTTGCATTGGAATGGGATGCGCAGCGCCGCGGGTATGTTGATCAATCCTCCATCTCCCATGACGCGGAGGAAGATCTCCTTCCACCCCACGGGGCCGACGGCGCAGCTACACACGGCCTCGGTGGTGAGCGACCACAGCGCGCTGCAGCACTCGGCGCTGGGGGCCGGCGGCAAGATCCCGTAGAGCGACGCGGAGCACGGGACCAGCTCTTCGCGCAGCTGGAGGCATCGATCGCCGTCGGGGATGGCGGGATTGGTGACGCTGCCTCCTCCTTTCTCGCCAAAGTGGCCCATGGCGCATTGGATTGTTCCAGCTCCCAGGAGCAACACAAGGATCGACCATGAGGTAGCGTTCGTTTCCCTGTGATCCATCGTATGCTTTCCTTCTTTCCTTCTTTAGCGATTGTGTGTATACTTGAGAGAAGGAGTTTGAGAAAGAGATAGAGAGACAGGAGAGAATGCTAGTGGTGAGCTGGCTTATAAGCAGATCTTTCGTTGGAAGTTTTGGCTTTCATTTCTTCTTTGTTTTCATCTTGCTCGAGAGTTTCTGGTTCCAAGTTGGTTGCTCACGCAGCATTCTTTGCTCATCGTTTAGATATTGTTTAGTACTCGCAGCGATCAAATTGTTAAGATAGCCTTCATGCGGATTGAGAGTTAGGCAAAGTGGTGCTAACCAAAAAAGAGTATTATAATACTTTTGCAGCAGCGATGTGCGACGGATTCGGCAATCTTTCCATTGTGCGGTACGCAACGAACTCAAGTTGTTAGAGAAAGAATAAGTGTTTCCCAATTTTTCGACAAACGATACAAGGCTTGGGAAGTAAGTGAAGATATCAGCGACCTCTTAGCTCCGAGAAAAGATACTCTACAACAGTATGTGATTTGATTTGAGAAGGTACCTGTTTTGATCCTTTTTACTCAGGACAAACCACTGGTGGAAGACTTGCAACATACAAAACTCGGGATTTGATGAAGATTATCAGCGACCTCTTAGCTCCCGGGAGCTGGTCTCACAGATACTGTAGTATGTGATTCGACTAAAGCTTGAGAAGGTACTTGGATGGCTTATAGATGTTTATCCTATACCAGAAAGAGCTAATCCATTTCCTTCTTCCAGACCACCAACGCACACATTCCAGACGAGTCTATACGGCCCAGAGTGCTTCGGACACAGATCCATCACCTGGTCCCCAACGCTAGCTCCGCGCCCGCCATCGCCTTGCGTCTTACAAGAGCTTAGCAGCGAAGTCCACGCGATATCATTCGGCTCATACGGCATCGCTTCGAGCAACTCTTGCGCCAGCAAAAGCTGCCCTGTCCGTCCCAAGATATCCACCAGGCACACGTAGTTATCCAAGATCGGACACAGACCATAGTCGCCAACCATGGACACGAAGAACAGCCACGAGTGATACAAGAACCCGCCGTGACTGCAAGCCGAGAGCAAGTTCACGACCGTGATCTCCGTTGGCATCACACCACTCTGCACCATCTCCGTGAAGAGCTCCAAGCTTCTCCAGGGACGCCCGGACTGGGCATAGGCGCTGATCATGATACTCCACGCCACCACCGTCTTCCTCTCGCCAAGATCATCGAAAACTCTCTCCGCGATCGCAAGGCTTCCACACTTCTCGAAGAGATTCAAGAGTCCCACCGCGACTTGGGTGTCACTGCTGTATCCACTCTCGATCGCCTTGGCGTGGATCGTCCGGGCCTCCGCGGCGGTGATCCCCCCAGCGCAGGCCTCGAGCGCTTTGAGATACGTAATCTTGTTCGGTCGCTGGCCGAGAAGATCCATGGCTTTGAAGAGATCGTGAGCTTCGCGACGATGCCCGCTATAGGCATACGCGGAGATCATTCCAGTCCAGGATATCACATTCCTCTCCGGCATCTGATCGAAGAGCTCTCGCGCTGGATCACTGTGGCCGAACTGCGCGTATCCAGTGATCATAGCGTTCCAGGCCGCGAGGTCGCGAAGTGGAAGAAGATCAAATACCATTCTCGCGGCATCCAAATGCCCGGAGAGAGCATTTGCGGATAGGATCGCAGTCCAGGCCAGGATGTTCTTCGCGACGATGGCGTGGAACGCCGCGTCCGCCTCTTGGGCGTGCTCGCATCTCCCAAACATCGTCACCAGCGACGTCCCGACGTGAACATCGCCCGCGAAGCACGAATCGACGATGCAAGCGTGCACGACGCGGCCGAATTCGATCGAGGCGAGCGACGAGCACGCGTCCAGGATCGAGAGAAACGTCACGCGATTGGGCTGTATGCCATCTAGATCCATGATCCGGAAGCCTGCCAGCGCCTCCTCCTCGCGATCGCACAGCACCAGCGCGAGCATCACCGCGTTCCTTGACACCACATCGCCCTCCTCCATCGCCGCGAACAATCGCTCGACGCTGGCGACATTGGCGTCGTGGGCGTCGGCGATGAGCACCGTGTTACAGCCCACCAGATCCCTCTCGGGCATCCGATCGAGCAGTGGCGGGGATGCCCATTCTGGGCATACGCTGCGATCATCAGGTTCCACGAGAGGAGGGATCTCTGGGGCGTCGAATCAAACACCGCTCTCGCCTCCTCCACGCCGCCACACTTCCCATACATCGCGATGAGCCCATTCGCGACGATCAAATTCTCCTCCATCCTCGCCGTGGCGATCCGGCGATGGATCTTCCGGCCCACCGCGAGATCGCCCAGCGCGCCGCAGGCCTCGAGCGCGCTCACGAACACGCATTTGTCCGGCCGGATCCCATCGCCTTCCATCGCATCGAACACTTCCAGCGCCTTCGCGGGATCTCCACTCTGATTGTAAGCCGCGATCATCGTCCCCCACGAAACGCTGTTGCGATCTTCCATGCCCAAGAACAGCTCCTCGGCGTCGCGCAAATGCCCGTTCTGGGCAAGCGCTGCGACGAGCGCGGTCGCGCACACGACATTCCTTTCCGGAATCTGGCGGAAGATCTCCACCGCCCAGTCGAGCTGCGCATTCTGCGCATACGCCGTGATCATGGCCGTCCACGTCACCATGTTGCGCTCTTCCATCCGATCGAACATCTCTTTCGAGCGCTCCAATCGCCGGCACTTGCCGTACATGCTAACCAGCGCGGTGGCCACCGCGTAGTGCATCTCTGTACCGCTCTCCCGGGCCTCCACGTGAACGGCGATGCCGAGGTCGATTCTCCGCAAGCTCGAGCACGCATCGATGACGCTTACGAAGGTGATGGTGTCGGCGCGGATCCCATCCAGATCCATGAGCGCGAAGAGCTGGATCGCGGTGGCGGCGGCACCGTTCTGCGAGTGCGCGGTGATGAGCGCCGTCCAGGAGATCACGCTCCTGTCGCTGGGCGGCATTTGATCGAAGGTGATCCTGGCCTGCTGCAAATGCCCGTTCTGGGCAAATGCCGCGACCATGATGTTCCACGAGTAGCAGTTCCTCGCCGGGATGGAATCGAAGACGCGGCTGGCATCCGCGACGCAGCCGAATCGCCCAAACATCTGGACGAGGAGATTGAGGAGGAAGGAGTCGCGGCATCCGTGCTTGGAGATGTGGGCGTGGACGCGCCGGCCCTCGGGGACTGCCCGCGCGAGCGTGCATTGGCGGATGAGGACGGCATAGGTATCCGCGTCGGCCGCGCGATCGAGGGCTTCCAGGCGATCCAATTCCCTTCTCACGGCGTCGCCGGATCCAGATCCCGCGAGGCTGCCCCTGTCTAGAAGAGGCTTCTTGTGAGGCCTGCGACTGCATTGGTGCAGCGCAAGCGTCCTTCTCATGCCATTGGAGATAAACCCTAAACCCTTGCAAGAAGAAGGAGAATCTTAAGAATATTCGATAAAGTGACCCTGTAATCGGGATATTCGATAAAGTTATGGTTAACTTCATGGTTGATGAAGCTAACCTTTTTTGTTTATTGCAAATATCTGGAATATTCTTCTAAAAGAACTAGGGTTTAACGGACAAGTGATGCGGCTCAGGTATCTCGACGCGGATTTCTTCGACAGGGCCGCCGAGAATGCCACGCTTGCCTGCGCAAGATCGATCCTCCATGTCTGCGCTCTCCAGCTCCAAGATTTCGATCGGCAGCAGCAGCAGCAGCGATCGCAGCTACCGGAGATCGTCCTCGCGCAAGCACAGCAGCAAATCGATGAGAGGCCGCTGCCGGAGCTAGGCGCGTGCTTGGAATCACTCCGGCCGGGCCTCCGGGACAAGCTCTTGGAGAGTCTTCTCCCGTTCAAGCTGGAATGCCGGCCGATCTTAGATCAAGTCCCCAGGGCGCCGCCGACGCTGCCGTGCTTGCCGATATTCGTGCTGGAAATCCCCGAGGTTGATTCTCCGGAAGAGGATTTCTCAATCCAAGAAGAGATTTTCAGCGCGCAGCGTGAGCTACCGCTGGAAGAAGAAGAAGAAGGAGAATTGGCTGCCCTGGATCGCCAGGCCGCGGTTCTCCACATCGAGCCTGTGGAGTTCCAGCCGGTGGTGGTCTCTCGGAATTTCCCTTCTCGCGTTTCAAGGCAGATATTCGTTCTGGAGAGCGAGGAGGTGGATTTTCCAGATCTTTTCACGTCACTGGATGGCTCTGGGATGGAAGAACACAGTGAGGAGCTGGCTTGGGATCCACAGGCTTTAGCATCAGGTCTAGCTATCCAGCCAATCGATCTCGGGATTTTGGAGCAGCTGGCGGCACCACAGGTGTTCGAGAAGCTAGTTATCATCCCAGAGCTATCCCTGCCATACTTTCCATCTCTTGATCAGCAAGGACCGAAAGAAGAATCGCTGTTCGGGAGCTCGACTCTTGGGAAAGTTTCCATGCTGGAAACTAAGCAAGTTGATATCCCTGATGCGGGACTAGAGGAACACACTGTCGCACAGATGGTAGACTCATTGGCCATGCAGCACGTCCAGCTCGAGTTCCTGGACAACTATATAGTGACGCCACAATTGTATGAGAAGCTGGTGCTCGTTCCAGAGCTTTCTCTACGCTGCCATCTCGTCAAGCTTTTGCCGGTTCCAGCGCTCCACTTCAGCGACAGGGAGGAAAAGGTGGAAGAATTCATTTTTGGGACTCTGGCTTCTCTTGCCAAGTACTCTCAGCCGTCTGCCACGGACTTCATATATCTGGACTGGCATCTCTCCGAAAGCAACACTTGCAATGATCACCGGTGCTTCTACTTCAGGAGCCATCATCTCTGGGGTCTTGTGGAGAAAATCGCCACTGCTCCAGCTCCACATCAACCAGGCAGGGAGAGCAGTAGCGTCTCTCAAGACTCAAAACTGCCACCATTGGAATTTCCCACAGAGCCCATCGGTCCGGCTAGAGTCAGCGAAGCGCACGTTTCACTCGATCTAAAGGTGCCTCTACGTGATGCTAAGCGAACCGATGCTAAGCGGCGGAGTGGCAACTTTGGGGTTCCTGGTGCAAGGCTGCCGTCGAGTCAGACATGCACGGGGATTTTCGTGGTGAACAGCAGGCTCGTCAACAAGCACGGACTGATTTCCAGGAGGAGTACGTACCAGCGAATTCTTGCTGTTGAAAAGGGTGGAGCGCAGGTGGTGGAGAGGGAACTAAGGCTACCGATCGACGTCATTCTGAGTCCTACAAAGTGCCTCGTCTTTTACAGCCCGGAGAAGCTCTGCATGCATGAACAAGCGAACAGTGTGGAGGGCGTCTCGGCGTGGATCGAGAGCATTATCGACAATGATATGAAGGCCATCAGCTTTGCCTTCCAGCAATGCATCATGGTAAGCTCTTCAGTTTGCTCCCTCTTATAACTGATATTGTATTCTCTGTCAGGTCTTTGAAGGTGACAGAAGATTCACGACTGCCGTCCTTCAAAATATCGATGACGTCTACGCAGCAGCCGTTGGTCTCAGCATCCACGCCCAATGCTTCGTTTCCCGTGATCCGGCAAACACCGACTCGATCGTTTTGAGCTGCGTCAAGGAAGCTCAAACCAGCGCCACCTCTCGTACGTTTCCTCGAATGACAGAGTCCCCCACTGTGGCGGAAGCATTTCTGACAGAGTCGCCGACAATCAACCCGCTCACCGCTCACGCCATCTTATCTTCCGAGAAAACTCTCGCCGCCTTCATAGCAATGGCACCACCGGAGCAGCTCGCAGCCGCAAAGCCTTTCGCCATATCTTCCCACTCGCTGCAGCTCTTCAAATCCCAGTGCGAGTATGGACAAGTCGAGAGACGTGTGGGACGTGGACAAAAGAATCAGGACTTTATAGACGGATATGGACGACAGCGTGCAGTCGAACCTCTAGAACAGAAGCCTCCATCGTGCAGCGACAGACATGAATTCCAGTATTTTCCTCCCGCGGCCGAGCTGGACGAGGAATGGAACTCGGGGGACCATTTCACGTCGGCTCCATACTTTCCGCCCGCCGGGCAGCTAGACGAGGACTGGGACGAGTCGCCAGCTATTCCAGCGGCGCACACCTTTGAAGCGGTGGCTCTCGATGACATCGAGGGGCGAGAAGACATTGTCAGCAAGAAGTACACGGCGAGCGGCTTTGGCTTCTCCTCAAACAGGCGCCAATCTTCGTCGTCCTCCTCCGTCAAGGACGCTTTGAAGAGTTGGCTGAGCGCTCGCGAGCAAAGCAAGAAGAATCTCAAGAGACCCCCGCCGGCAGCGCCACCTCTGATGGTGCACGACGAGACTCCGACTCGTAGCACTTCGACGAGGAAGAGAAAGGACGCTACTGCAAGTGTTCCTGCTGCTGCTACAAAAGAAGGTGGTGGAGTTAAGAGGAAGAAGCCGAGCAACGACATCTTCACGCTGTGGGAGAACTTCAAGTACCGGAATCAGCCAGCTGCTACTCCGCTGCTCTCAACTTCCAGGAGCTTCAAGAGGCCCTCGAGCTCCATATTCTCTTCGTCGCCGGGACAGAACAACAGCTCCAGTTGCAGCGTCCAGCAGCAACACAAAGCAGGAGGGGGAGTAGCAGCGGGAGGAGGAAAGCGTGCAAAGCGAACCACGATTTGACAACTCGGAACAAAACTTTGGAAACCAGGTTCCAATCACCAGGTTCCCGGGATCGTTTTACACGTCACTCAACTAGATCAAAATGCAAATTCGATGCCAACTTCGTGTGGCAATTACAATGGGCATCCATATGGAATTTAGAGAACCAATAGTAGAGAAATCTCGAAAACTCTCACCCATCAACGAACACTGTGCCCTATGGATACAGAGAATTTTCTCTTGCAATTGCAAAACGTAAGTTAGTATATAAACATAAGACTTCTAGTTTGCAAACTAGTAATAAGTAAGCCTTTTTGGAACAAAATACAAAATAGAAAAGGTGAAGATCAAACCCTAAAATGGAGAATCATTCGACAAAGGTCTAAAATATTCGATAAAGGTGGTAGATCTTTCAATCTTTGAAAAAGTATGAATTCCAAGTAGGTTGCTCATACTATGTCCGAGACTTCTAGCGCGATCTTCAAAACCTCTCGCTCCACGCCAAGTTCTCCCTCGTGTTGCTCTCGCGACCAAGATGACAATCCCCCAGCGCTTCTTCTGGCTGCTGTGCTGCTGCTATCTCCACTGCTGCTGCTCTTGTTTCTCGTCACCCAATCTGTGCGACCAAGTCCGGGAGGAGTTCCAGCCCTGCCTCGTCTCGGCCTTCGACATCCTGCCTCCACCGCCATCGCCAGAATGCTGCAGCGCGCTCCGAGCTCTCACCCACGACGACGCCTGCGCTTGCACCACTTCCAAGCACGTCCGCTGGAGCCAGCTCGCCTCATCGCTTCTGTACGGCCAAAGCCCCCAGATGATCCCCAACTGGCCAGCCATCGACAAAATCCCCTTCCAGTGTGGTATCCCGTCCTCCCGTTTCACTTACCGCTGCAAGAGATCCCCATAGCCAAGGAGCACTAGTTAGAATAACGAACTCGTCACGCAAATCAAAATTGAAAGCAAGCTTCTCGCTTTGTTTTTCTTTACCAGACGCTTGGTACCGATCGGGTTGAAACAAAAATCTCTCTTTTATACATATGAACAGACAGCCACATTTCCCTGCTGCCATCAGTCCAAAAAATTGTAATTCGCAGAACGAAATGTGAAGGAAAAAAAAAAAGAGGTGCCTACATTGTCAAGCTCTCGGTTATTCACACTCGCGCAACAGCCTGGGCCTCTCCTTGACGTGAATCTTTTCGCGCACGTCCTTTCCCACCAGCTTCAAGTTCTTTATTCTGTAACAGCATTTTCAACCGCGTTAGAAACAAGCGCAGCAAACAGAAAGGGAAGAAGTAGCTCACCTAAGTCGACACAATGCCTACGTGAAGAAAGATTTTCTCCTCCCGTGCGCGCGAATGCTGTGAAGAAATCGTCCGTGCTATACAAATGCCCCCTGAATATCGGCCTGGAAAGACTGCTCGCTCATGTAGTGATCGAAGGCTTGGTTTCTGTTCGAGGAGAAGATACTGTCGCCATCGCCAGGTCTCATGGAGTTCGGAACTCCCGTGCTACCCAATCCGATGCCACCTCTCTTGAACTTCGCCAAGGCCTCAGCGCTGTAACCCCCTACCCAGCTATTATCTACTGTCGAAACGGCCCTGTAGTTCCTCGCAGAACTTGGAGAATACGGAGAGAGTGGATTGTCGTACTGCCTCGCCAAAGCACCCACGTCGCCATGGTCTGTAGGAGGGAAAAACTGCCGAATGCCTGCTTTATGTTGAAGCCGCATCGTCCTAGAGATATCGTTCTGCAAAGGGCTTCGACCAACCGCCATAATCGCAGGATCAATGAGATCGAATTCGTTGAGTCGGCCACCTATACAAGACATCCTGGATCGAGCATTGAGCAAATGAAAGGCGACATACCTGCAGGACTGGGGGGCATACTGCTAGAGCTCCTGAGAGAGAACCCCGGAGGAGGAACCGAAGTACCAGAGAATCCCGGCGGTGCAAATAACCGTGCCTTCATCGTAGAGGTATGCACTGAAACAAAAGAGAAGAAATAAGTGAAAACTACTGTAGCTCACATAGCTTACCAGGATCAGCAGACGATATCGACTGGCTTCTAGAGAGCAACGGTGCTTCCAAGGGAAATCCACCCAGCGTACTCTCAAGAGCATGTTGATTGCTGGTCGACGGTTCGTAGCCTATGTCTTCCTGACGAGCGAAAGAAAAGCGTGACTGCTGCTTCCCATGAGGCTTCCAAGGAAGAGGAGACTCCAGAAAATCGTCAGCCGGCTTCGGTGTAGATCTCCCGGTCAGGAAAAGCTTTGTCAAATCTCCTGGACTCGCACCGTCCTCACTGAAGTCCATGGTCAATATGTCAGCTATGATGTTACTTTCGGCAGGTTCGTTGCTCGTCGCTCGCGCAAGCTTTGGATCCAGAGTGCTTGAAGAACTGCTCGGCCTTGGAGTTTCTGTGTCTTGAACACCAAGGTCCAGTCTTTCTAACGCAGAGATCATGTTGCTCTCGGCACCAGGAGGGCTCAAAATCTCGGAGCATAGTGCATGTCCATTGGGAAGATCGGAGCCAAGACTGATACTCATCTCGCCGACGTTCAACTGAACCGGATTATCACTGGCTGCTTTCTCCTGAAAGGCGTCCCCATCATGCTGTGAATCCATAGATGATCGGTATGCATGAACAGGACTGGTGCTTTCTTGACTGGAGTCTGTTTGAGGTTCGGCTTTCATGGTCTTTGCTGGTGTGTCTCGCATACCCCTGTCGAAGAATATTGTAAGTGGAAAAACAAAAAGTGGACGTCCTACCATGCAGCAGCTGGAGGAAGATTAGTCAGCTTCGGCACAGGAGAACTAGCTGGCTTTGAAACTGGAACTTTGTTCGGAGTCTGTTGACTTTGTCCCATCTGGCAAGTTAGAAACGTCGTGAAATGATGTACAAGCTTAAAACAAACAGAATGCATACCGCAGCTGAGCAGCTCCCTTCCGCAGGTGGCGGCAAGACTCCGGCGGCCCGATGAGGCGGCCTTGTAAGATCATTAAACTGGATCTTACTGGAAGAAGCTAAAAGTCAGTGCAAGCGAAAGATGGTCAGGATCGACACATACTTGCCATACTTTGCAATCATCTCCTCCTTGGTATAGCTGTCCTCGTCGGGCCCCTCGTCATGCAAGTATAGACAATCCGGGTTGTTGCACGGCTTCACAAGGCGAGTCAGTAAGAGCAATCGGAAAATTAAACGAGACTCACCAAATTCTTTAGCCACGAGTTACAATACTTGTTAGTCCCGAAACAAGCTCTGCAGCCAGAAACAAATTTATCAGTCGCGCATTACAATCTGATGATTGTAGTTGATACCTCAACAACTTTCCCTCAAAGATGCAACCATCTATAGCATTTATGCATTTCACTGCATCATCATCTCTGACAAAAGTCACATACCTGACGAAGAATAATCTGTGTGAGTTCTCAAACACAAAAGCTGAACAAACTAAAACTTACACGCTTGCAGTGGGACCATTATGCGAATGCTGCCTAGATACCGCAACCTTCAAAATCTTGCCATACTGCCCAAAAAAATCTCGCCTCTCCAGCATCTGCTTCACACGGCATGGCGTTACCAAGACCCGAAGAACAGAGAAACAAAGTCTCACCTCTTCATCAGCGAAGTTCACCGGAAAGCCGACAATGTAGACGAGATTACGCTGTACTACTCGTACATTGCTTAGATGCTTTCTTCCCTCCTGCGTCTTCGACTTGGCCTTGTGCGATTTCCTCTTGCTGGCTGTAAACTCGAGCCTTGCAATCACAATGACGAGCAAAGAATCAGCCTTTTCTCACAGCCTCATCTAAAGTCTAAAGTTCTTACTCGGAGCAGCTTAACCGCGTCCCGACGACCTTGTCCTTGTCATATGGCGTTCGGCATGCCGGGCACCGCCCTTCGGTGTTCTCCTTGGCCGCATTTTCCATCACCTGGTGCCAGCACCACACGCAAATCTGCGAAGCACACACACGGATTATCGACAACGCTCCACCGATTTCTTCTTCCACAGCTCAAACCTGGTAGCCGCAGTGGCACGGCTTCAAGTGCCGGTCCGTAATATCCATCTCCTCCATGCACAGCGGGCAGTCCAAATCCTCCTCCATCGCGACGAGCAAGCTGGAATTTCCGCGAGGAATTGCCGACGATTGCGTCGAAAAGCCCTAGCAGCCCGGCCCAAAACCCTACAGCTAGAGTGGATCTCCAAGCTCGCGCCGACTAGTCCACGACCTTTCGCGCATCCACCATCGCCGCGCCTAATCTCTCGCAGGCCACTCTTTCTTCTCAATCCCTAGCGCCTTGCCGTCCTCCTAGCGGAAAAAATAATCGTAGAAGCGGCGTTTCGAGGGCCGCGATCGTGCCACGTACGACCAACGCATCCCGGTCGTTGATACGGCGCTTAATGCTCCTATTTGGTTAGCATGCTAAAAAAAGGCAAAACGAAGAGAGAATCGGACAGGAATGATTCCGGTTATGAGTATATTCCTCTTTCAAACTTTGACACGAAGCGAATTGTTCCTGGAAGAACACGAGATCACAAGCGTGTGGCTTCTTGTGAGAACTCCCGCATCGAAATCATAGAAGAAGATTAAACCTTACTTCTTTCTTACTTGGTTGGCAGCGTCGATCTCTTGGCACCGCATTCCGAGCAAAACTTTGCATCCGATCGACCATAAGGAACGTCGCATTTGTCACACCTTTCTCCCGGATTACATGGAGTCTTCTCGCAATCAAAAATTTCTCTCGTGAGTTCTCGCGGAAAGAAAGAAAAGAATCGATAGGAACACTCACAGTCGTGCACGGGAGCGACCACTTTTGTCGTCCTTTGGAACCGGAGCTGGAGCCCCCGACTTCTACTTCAACCTGTGCATGATCACAGCTGAGAGGAGATGGAGGCGAGCACGAATTTTAATCAAGATCTGTTTAGATTGTGCAAGCATTAGATGACAAGCTTCCAAAGTTCTCGGAGATAAAATGTACTTGCCTTCAATCTCGAAGCCCCAGAGGAAGATGATCCAGCAACCTGTTCTGGAAGAAACGTCCTTGTTTCAAGCAAAGGATTTAAAAAAAGGGAATGGACGGACGTACTTGCGCCACGTTGGACGAGTCCAGGTGGCAGGCGATTGGAGAGCGCCGCGGCAGTGAGCCCGGTTCCAGCTTTTTTGGCGGGGCGAAGGGCCGTACAGCTCTTTTGATGGTGCTTGAAAGCTTCCGGACGAAACTTTCGATCGCAGTGAGGGCATTGCTCCAAATTGCCTTCCCATTGCGCATAGGCCCTGCGAAACATTCATCCACAAAATCAGTAAGAACTTTGATCACGAAGAGGAAATAGGAAGAGCTCATTCTGAGGGGGGAGAGAGAGAGAGAGAGAGAGATGGAAGAAAAGAATGATCTAGGAACGGATTGGAAGGGCTCACTCTGAGAGAGTGATGGAAGAAAGAATGATCTACATGGATTGGAAGAGCTCACACTGAGAAGAATGGAAATTCTCGACCAAGAGAGAGAAAAAGAATGAAATGGACTTCAAGGGAAGGGATTGGAAGAGAAGAATGGACAAAGGATGAGAGAGAATGAAATGAAATGTCTACGAAGGAATAGATTGGAAGAGCTCACTCTGAGTCTGAGAAGAATGGAAATTCTCGACAAAGAGAGAGAAATCTTTGAAGGAAAGAGAGAGAAAGAACTTGAGGATCAAAGCAAGAAATTTGGAATGGAGCTCACGCGTCGTTGAATGCATCCACATTGTAGCCTCCCGAGCTCGTCGCGATGGGAATCTCGGCGGGCGGCAGCGGCAATGGCCGGCGCTCCTTTGGCGGCTTGAGCTCCTCCTCAGCTAGCCATTTCTTCTGGCACTGCGGGATGTGGATCGGCAAACTGGCCACGAAATATCACCAAAGTCTCACAGCAAGATCGCGCGGCAGTGAGATCGAATCGAAGCTTTACCTCTTTGTTCCATACTCGCGGCCGCAGAGGTAGCACATCAGCATCTTGGGCCTGGCGGCCATGTTGCCGCCCACGGCGATGTCCATCGGGGGCGCGATCCAAGAATTCCTGCCGAGACGAGGGCGATCGCGGAGAAAATCGGTGGCATTCCACGGCGCGCGATCGATCGAGAGTGATCCAAAGAAAGGATAGAAACCCCAGAAACGCCCACTGCCACCACGGACGCGTAGTATAACGTTCTCACGGATGGCGTGGGGCAATTGTAGCGGTTGGATCACAAACTCTACGGCTAGAATTAAATCCTTTCTCATTGATCGGCGAGTGGATTTGGTCTTACAATATCGAAATTGACCATCGCGCAAGCGAGGAGTTTGTTCTTGGGGTCTAACATCTCGAGCTTCAATCGATACGCTCCCTGCAAGAAAAAAAACTTTAGATACAAAGTTTGTACGAAGATCTTCTTACCGATGGCGTGACCGATGGCAAGTTTTGGGAGCTCTTGAGCACAAAGTTTCCTGCTTCCACTGGACAGCTTGTTTTCTGGCACAGATCGTAGATTTCCCTGTGCACAAAGATTCCATGGAAGTAGACTGTGATCGCAAGCTTTCCCGACGCCAATCTAGCACCTGATGGAAAACTCACGCTCTTTAATACACATATACAGCTCTGAAGAAGAACTTAACTTGATGAACCAGTCACTTGGAACTCGACGTCTTCGCCAGTAATCGCAGGATCTGGGACAACTTTCACGTCTTGGAGAGTGATCTCACGAGGGCGATGATCTGCACGAAAACGAGGGAAACGAGTTAACAAAACCAAGGAAAATCAAAAGACCACTCACCACAAGGTGTCCAAGAGCTGCTCGCCGAGACAGCCGAGAAGGAAAGAACAGCGAGAAGCAGTAAGCTCTGGAAAAACTTCTCCATAGCTAGGTTTCACAAAGAGGCCAAAGCCTTTTCGATTCATAAATAGGCAACTCAAAAGGAAAGCACAGAACCCTTTTTATCGTTTTTGCGAAACTTAAAAAGCTTACGCTGCCGCGTCTAATCGTCGCCAAACGATCTGGAACTGGATGTTTGCACAGGCCAAAAGGCTGGAGCCCTGAACGATCTGCATTCTAATCTTGTACTTCCCCTGAGAGAGAGAGAGAGAGAGAGAGAGAAAGTTTGCGAGAGTGAGAGAGAAGATCTAAAAAACAAAAGAAAAAAAATTCCTGTGACTTACAGAGGGCGTAAATCCAGGGAGCGCTTGGGTGCTGTTCAAGACGAAATCACCAGCAGCAATTGGGCACTTTGTTTTCTCGCACAAATCGTCCACCTCTCGGTGCACAGGGATGTTATGCCATAGCACAGTGACAATCACAGTGCCGGACTTGATTGGAACACCTTGAAAAAGCAGACAATTCGCAAAGAATCACGCAATAATCACTTACACAGAAATCTCGCAGAGAAAACCTACTTGTGCTCGCTGGAACAACGAATGCCGCATCCTGGCCGCTCACAACGGGATCCGGCAGGACCTCCACGTCCTTGATCTTGACGGAATAGCTCTTGTACTTGTCTAAAGGAAGAGAGCAAGGATTGTTATGCCCTAATTCGCCAAGCAGCTAGAAAGGACGAGGGAATGCAACGCGCTTACCGCATAACTCCCAGGAGCTCGCCACAGCCAGAGCCGCGGTGGCCGCCATGGCCAAGACGCACAAGAGATTTCCCGCCGAAGCCATAAAAATGCCCCAATTCAGAAACCATACATACCAATTTTATAATCCATGTATGAAGTGTTTAAAGTAACTCATACTTCTTGAGCAACGCAGGACCATGTAAACAGTATATGAATGAATGAACGATGAAACAGGCAAGGCTTGTATGACAATAAAACTCTGTTATTTCATTCATTCATTCATTCATATACTCTTTACAAAGTCTTGCAGCGCCAAAAAGCATGAGATTAATGGGTTCAAATATGTTGCAACACACGAGTCTCCATACAGGATAAATGCAAACCTTCCTTTGTCGATGGCTGTCACCCATTGTTCCGCCAGCTCTTGAGGGTGGCTGTTTGTCGTCCAATCTCATGGGCATCTACATCCACCTCGTCCCTTGTGCCTGGCCTTTGTATAGATCTTCAGAAAACTAGATTCTAAAGTACTTAATCACTGAGCCTGGGAACCACAGAGCATTCCATTCTTATTACGAACTCAGTCTCTAATGCCTACTCAAAGCCTCTTCTTGCAACGCTGCCAATTCTTCCAAACGTTTAATGCGTGCCTAGCAAGCAAATAATACCTCGTATATTATTATGTTTGTTTATGTAAAGACCAGCTTACCAGGCTGCGAAAACCACGCACAAAAGGATGATCAACCAGTTGCACCGCTGTGGGTCTGTTTGTTCCTCTTTCGAAACACCGATCCAAAAAGTGATGGCATTCGACCAGGAAGCTGTTAGGGGTCTCCTCCGGACCAGATTGGACGTCAACTTCCCGTCCAAAGAAGTGAGAGCGCTGTGAACTTAAAATGTAAAACAGAAAAAAATGCAAAGGGAGCAGACAAACCCTGGAGGGAAAGAAATCTTTGCTGATGCTTAAGTATTTACTCTGTGGCTCCAAATTCTTGATCATTTCAAGTACAACACAGCCCAGGCTCCAAACATCCGCTGAAAGACTATCACAATACTGGAAATACAAGTTTCAGCAATGTGGCCACGATTATCAATCCACAAACCTCAGCCGGCATCTCAGGAACGACCTCTATCTGGTAAGGAAAATTGTAACAGTTTCAGAGTTTACAGACTAGACACGTACCGATTGCAAAGCGATGCCATAATGAGAGAGCTTAACAACTTCATGCGAAGTATCCACAAGTATGTTTGCAGCTGTGAGCGCCCTGACAAAGAATCTACAGATCCGTATGAAGTTTTCATTTGGAATTGATCAATCTTAAAGCATGAACCCGTGTCTTGTGCGTCTGCTATGAAGATACACCAAGCCAGATAAAATCTGATAAGTGTAGCTTCGAACTGCATCTTCGTTGAATGACACACTTGCAAGTGCTTTTCCACGTACGTTCTTCTCATAAATGAACAGCATGCAATTCACAATCCATGGATAGTTTATAGCTTCAACGACTGCCTCAGATGCATAGTACTGCACGATGTGGGGGTGCCGCAGAGCGCTGAGTTCTGCAACTCGCTGAAAGTCATAAGTTAGATGTGCATGAGCTACTAAGCTAGAGAGTAGACTACTTCCCACCTTAGGCAGGTTCTTAAATTGTGCAGGGAGCACATCGGAACTGTAAAGCAGAATTCTGCGGCAGGGTTGGCCTCTGTAAAGGCCTTGAACATATATATGTTTGGAGTGGAGCTCAGAGTGTGGAATAATGTTTGTCTGTCTCCACTCAGCAGTGTCACCACCTGTCCTGCCAGCATGAGCTCAAATTCATAGCCTATTACGTTTATACACACCTGCATGCTGTCTTCGAAAGGCTTGCAAGATATCGATTATCACATCCATGTCTGAAAAGTCAGAGTCACTTTGGTTCATGATTTCTTTCAGGGCCTCTGCATTTTGTTCACCATAATTAACTTCAGCCAGCTTTACAAATAGTTTTAATGATTCACAAAGTAAGCTCTTCAAGCTTATCTCATTCCTCTTTTCTGATCGCCACCAGTAAATCATGAACTCAACAGTATTATGCAGCCTCAGGTCAATCTCAACTTCCCGAAAACCATGTTTATGCAAGTGTAGAACAGTTTGTACAACTTGGTAAGTGACTTCTAGAAGGCAAGACACGGTGAGTGCCTCACTATGGTGACTGTGACGGTCGCTACTCTCCGTAAATATGCGACGCTCGCGATTCTCGGTAAGTATGTAACGCTTCCCAGTATCGTGGCAGTGACACCATCCAAAAATCTGCACAATAGAGGAACTTGGACCTAGGAAAGGACCCTTTGTCACCTCAAGATCCTCATCATAATCGAGCTCCACAAGTTTAGCAGCCTGACCCAGCCAACCAAACCACTCCTCAGTAGGACCAGCAGGCCAATCTTCCATGTTTATTCTTGGACAGTAGCCGCTTTGTCTTTGAGATAAGTACACGACAAGCTCCTCTGAACTTGCATTCTTCACCAATTCGGCACAATCTTCGTTTGCCAAACTGTGGAGGTCATAATACAGATCCTGCTCCTGCTCAATATCGGACAGCCGCTCAAGAACACGGCCCGCCCAAATACCCTCTGACCTTCCAATTGCGTCCGAGTTGATTATGTCCACACATTCCTGAAGCTCTGACAGAAATTCCACAACTTCCCATCTTCTGTCATACCTGGATGCAGCGATCCACTCCCAGTGCTCTTTATGACTACATTGCCCGAGAAATTCCTTCACTCTATCCAATACATGGGCAAGGCGCTCCAAGGCCGCAGATAGGGGTGGGATTGAGAAAGGTAGCCCGGCATTGATGATCTGCCCCCACAAGCGGCAGTACAGGGCATGTTGATTGCATACCAAAAACAGTAGCCTGCATAGACGAGGATACGCTTTGGCATTTGGCGCAAGCTTAGAAATCGCATCGATCAACCTCAGTATGTCCTCCATACCCAGGCTTTGACTTGGCTTGGGTGAAGGGGGGAGGGGGTATGCAGATATAAGCGCTGTTCATCTTCTTGAGCTCCACCAAGTTGGCAAAATAGGAGCCAAGTCAACAGGGAGTCAATAAATAATAGTTTGTTATAACTATAACAAATCATATCTCAAATCCATAGAACTAGTCTTCTTCTCTCTCAGCTTTTTTGTTTTTCTCTCTTCTTTTGATCATCAACAAGTTTCGACATGAAAGCTGACTTAACACATATTGTAAAACTTAGGGAATATTGGAGCTATTCGCACTTGCTCTTTATTCTTGAAATGTGTTAAATTTAAGTGATGAATACATTCGCACTATGTTTTAAAATAAAGTAAATTACTTTACATTAAAATTTAGGATATTTTTTTAAAACATTTTGATTCGCACATAGTGCTAACTTTAACACAATGTTTTCACTTTTTAAAACATTCAGACCGATTTTAAAAGATGGGGGGGGGGGTTCTTTTAAACTTAAAATATTTTTAAAAGGAATCTCCGAGATTCCCCAAAGATTCTAGCGCCCTGATTAGGGCATTTCAGTTTTTTGCCGCGAGCTGCTGTGATCTCAGGCATTTTATGGCGGGGGAGCCGACAGTAGTCATCGCCCTAGGGTTAGATCCTGTTGGGGATTCAGTGGAGGAAGGAAGAGCCGATTTTGGGGAAGGAGGAGCTGTAGGGTTTAACACAGGTTTAGGGCAGTGGCATCTAGTGAGGAGGTGCTGCTCGTGAAGTGAGGAGCAACCGTGGTGGATCTGGGAAGAGCACCAAGCCCAGCTGTTGCTTGAGGAGGCAGGCTGCCTCAGGGCTGAGGCCGTGGAAATGTGGATCTCTCGAATCTTGGTTTATTTTGAAGACATTTTAAAGTAAGTCAAGTGCGAAGTCACTAGTGTTTTACGTTAAATTTTTACTACAAAAACTTATGCAGGTGGGAATGAAAATGTTTTAAAATGCATACTTAAAGCTTAAAACAACCTAAAAACTATTGAAGTGCGAATGCAACAGTCACAAAAATTAAAATACACATTTTAAAATATTTTTATATAAAGCGCAAGTGCGAATGGCTCCATTTTATATTTCGCTATATAACCAAACTAACAAGAATAAAGATGCCCGCCACCAGAAATCAGTAGCAGGAATAGAGCAATATAGATGCTGAGGTGTATGAATGAGAGGCTGTGCCGACAATAGGGAGGCGAGAAACAGCAGAAGAACAAAAATCATTGGCAGGCTTGTCGCTAATATTGACTAGGTGGGTGGTAAATCAGTGTAATTGTAAAATTGGGACCAGATAATAGCGAAGGCTTACTTAAAATCTTGTTGATTTCGAGCTTGAGGAGCAAATCCGACGCCAGCAGGACGAGCCCGCTGCGAGCGACGTCATCTTCATCTCCCCGAGCTAGCACGACTAAATTTTAACTCATTTATTTGACTTAAGCAGTGGTAGAATAGTCCTGCCACGGAACAGATCCGGGTTTTTCATTCCCGGGCAGTGCACCTGTGAAAACTAAGCAAATATACCACCCACCTAGGGACTACTAAAGTCTAACTTCGCAATATTTGCAAAAGACAATTTTTGTTCCTTTGATGCTGTCTTGCCACTTGTCGTTGGTGTGAGTGGATTTGGTCTTACAATATCGAAATTGACCATCGCGCAAGCGAGGAGTTTGTTCTTGGGGTCTAACATCTCGAGCTTCAATCGATACGCTCCCTGCAAGAATAAAAGCTTTAGATCCAAAGTTTGTACGAAGATCTTCTTACCGATGGCGTGACCGATGGCAAGTTTTGGGCGCTCTTGAGCACAAAGTTTCCTGCTTCAACTGGACAGCTTGTTTTCTGGCACAGATCGTAGATCTCCCTGCGCACAAAAATTCCATGGAAGTAGACTGTGATCGCAAGCTTTCCCGACGCCAATCTAGCACCTGATGGAAAACTCACGCTCTTTAATACACATATACAGCTCTGAAGAAGAATTTAACTTGATGAACCAGTGACTTGGAACTCGACGTCTTCGCCAGTAATCGCAGGGTCCACGACAACTTTCACGTCTACGAGGGCGATGATACGGGAAACGAGTTAACAAAACAAAGGAAAATCAAAAGATAACTCACCACAAGGTGCCCAGGAGCTGCAGCCGAGACAGAAAGAACAGCTAGAAGCAGTAAGCTCTGGTAAAGCTTCTAGCACAGAACCCTTTTTATTGCTTTTGCGAAACTTAATAACTTGTCTAATCGTCGCCAAACGATCTGGAACTGGATGTTTTGCACAAGCGATCTGCATTCTAATCTTGTACTTCCCCTGAGAGAGAAGATCTAAAGAACAAAAGAAAGAAAAATCCTGTGACTTACAGAGGGCGTAAATCCAGGCAGCGCTTGGGTGCTGTTCAAGACGAAATCACCAGCAGCAATTGGGCACTTTGTCCACCTCTCGATGCACAGGGATGTTATGCCATAGCACAGTGACAATCACAGTGCCGGACTTGATTGGAACACCTTGAAAGAGCAGCAATTCGCAAAGAATCACGCAATAATCACTTAGAAAGAAATCTCGCAGAGAAAACCTACTTGTGCTCGCTGGAACAACGAATGCCGCATCCTGGCCGCTCACAACGGGATCCGGCAGGACCTCCACGTCCTTGATCTTGACGGGATAGCTCTTGTACTTGTCTAAAGGAAGAGATTATGCCCTAATTCGCCAAGCAGCTAGAAAGGACGAGGGAAAGCAACGCGCTTACCGCATAACTCCCAGGAGCTCGCCACAGCCAGAGCCGCGGTGGCCGCCATGGCCAAGACGCACAAGAGATTTCCCGCCGAAGCCATAAAAATGCCCCAATTCAGAAACCATGCATACCAATGTAAATATTATAATCCATTACAACAGTGATCAAGGAATCTGTATCTCTCACTTATAAATCTAGTGTTTAAAGTCACTCGTGCCTCTTGAGCACCGCAGAAGCATATGAATGAATGGATGATGACTAATGAAAACTAAAGTTCACTTGGTATTACATTGTGCAACAGGCAAGGCTTGTATGAGCCCGCTCCACAACAATCAAACTCTGTTATCGATCTTCAGAAAATTAGATCCTAAAGTGCCTTATCACTGAGCCTGGGAACCTCAGAGCATTCAATTCTTGTATTACGAACGCAGTCTTCCTTTTTTCCACGGCCGTTTCAATTCCTGAAAAAGTTGGTGACGGTGCATCTAGCATGAAAACAGCTCGCGGGCAAGGACCTGTAAAGCCGCAGCCTCTGCTGCTCATCCGTGAGACAGTGCTTTGCCCCAGCAGCCGCAAGTTGTGTGAAGAAGCCCTGGAGCTTAGCAGTGTGAGTCTAGATACTGCCATTTTCCTCTAGCCTCAAGGAATCCATTTGTGAATGGATGTTGAAGACATCCATTTCACTCTTGGTGCCATAAGTGTCACTCAGCCACTTCCAAAGCTCTGCGGCAGTGGACTTTGGAATTGATGGGGCAGCAAAGAGAACATTTGAGGACAAGCACATCGCAATACTCCCTCTAGCCTTGGAATCCCGAAGGTTCCAATCACGCACCTCAGCAGCGCTAGAGCCTGGAGCCGGTGATGACTCTGTCCCATCTACAATCCCCAACAAACCATGAAACAAGAGATAGGATTCAAGATGGATCTTGAATCCCTCAAACCCTTCTCCATCAAACTCGCGGATGGATGGCTTTCCTTCCATAGCACTATCCCAGCTCCGATACCATGAGACAAATCGGGATCAAAGCGCACCGCGCTAGCGGACAGAACAGGAAAACCTTAATGAAAGACCAGCTTACCCGGTGCACGAAAGGATGACAAAGCAGTTGCTCCGCTGTGGGTCTGTTTGTTCCTCTTTCGAAGCACTGATGCAAAAAGTGATTGCATTCGACTAGGAACCTGTTCCCAGGCATTTCAGGGGTCTCCTCCTCAGCAGATTGGACGTTGACTACTTCCCGTCCAAAGAAGTGTGAGAGCTGTGATGAAACCAACCACTTAAAATGTTTACAAAAATGCAAAGGGAGCATACAAACCGTGCTTGAGTATTTACTCTGTGGCTCCAAATTCTTGATCATTTCAAGTACAACACAGCCCAGGCTCCAAACATCCGCTGAAAGCCTATCACAATACTGGAGATACAAGTTTCAGCAATGTGGCCACGATTATCAATTCACAAACCTCAGCCGGCATCTCAGGAACGACCTCAATCTGGTAAGGAAAATCGTAACAGTTTCAGATGTCACAGACTAGACACGTACCGATTGCAAAGCGATGCCATAATGAGATAGCTTAACAACTTTATGCGAAGTATCCACGAGTATGTTTGCAGCTGTGAGCGCCCTGACAAAGAATCTACAGATCAGTGTGAAGTTTTCACCATCAATCTTAAAGCATGAACCCGTGTCTTGTGCCTCTGCCATGAAGATACACCAAGCCAGATAAAATCTGATAAGTGTATTGTCGAACTTCATCTTCGTTGAATGACAGACTTGCAAGTGTTATTCCAGGTACGTCCTCCTCATAAATGAACAGCATGCAATTTACAATCCATGGATAGTTTATTGCTTCAACGCCTGCCTCAGATGCATAGTACCGCAAGATGTGGGGGTGCCACAGAGTCCTGAGTCCTGCAATAACCTGAAAGCCAAAAGTCAGATGTGTATGGACTACTAAGCTAGAGAGTAGACTTCTTTACCACCTTAGGCAGGTTCTCAAACTGTGCAGGGAGCACATTGGAACTGTGAAGCTCAATTCTGTGGCAGGGTCGGTGTCCGTAAAGGCCTTTAACATATATACGTTTGGAATGGAGCTCAGAGTGTGGATTAATGTCTGTCTGTCTCCACTTAGCATCTGTCCTGTCAGCGTGAGCTCAAATTCATAGCCTGTTACGTTTATACACACCTGTGTGCTGTCTTCGAAAGGCTTGCAAGATATTGATTATCACATCCATGTCTGGAAAGTCATAGTCACTCTGGTTCACGATTTTTTTCAGGACCTCTGAATATAGTTCACCATAACTAGTTTCAGCCACCTTCACAAACAATTTTAATGATTCACAGAGTAAGCTCTTCAAGCTTGTTGCATTCCCTCTTTCTCGTCGTCACCAGTAAACCATGAACTCAACAGTATTATGCAGCCTCAAGTCAATCTTAAGTTCCTGAAAATCATGTCTATGCAAGTGTAGAACAGTTTGTACAACTTGGTAAGTGACTTCCAGAAGGCAAGACACGAGGAGTACCTGTCTGTTACGGTCGCTACTCTCCGCAAATATGCGACAGTAGTGATTCTCAGTAAGTATGTAACGCTTGCCAGTATAGTGGCAGTGGCACCATCCAAAAATCTGCACAATAGAGGAACTTGGACCTAGGAAAGGACCCCTCGTCACCTCGAGATCCTCATCATTATCGAGCTGCAAGTGCTGCAAGTGCTGTTGGAGTCCATAACAAACAGTGCAAGCTGTTGAGTTTGGTTTGCAAGGCGAGCGTTCAAATGGCGAGAGGGTATGCAGGCAGTAAGCTCTTCTTGAGGAGGCTAAGACAATTCATCAGGAAAGCGAACGGGCTGATTCGAGAGTGTTCCGTGCTTGAGGAGCATTGGGAGTGGCTTGTGGCTGTGAAATACGACAGGGAATTGGAAATTGAGGAGATCGTTGAGGAACTTCATTTCATGTGCGGGCTCATTGGTGCCAGTCCCATTCAGGCTTTCTTGCCACAAGTCTATGCAGTAGCCCAGCTCGACAAAGCCGTACTAGAAAAACAGGCCCGAGATGGGGGACTTCGAAGTCACTATGCTGAATACATACTACAGAGAGAGTAAATTCTTCAGAGTTGCCCGAGTTGAATTCAGAGAATGTGAGTGTTCATTTTGGGGAAATGCTCGGTAGAGGAAGCTTTGGTGTTGTTCGTAAAGGCACGTGGCATCAACAGTTAGTTGCAGTTAAGGAGTTTCATCATCTATCACCAGAACTGCGTGCACTATCAAGTATACAGGCTGCTCCTCACATTGTTCAAACCATTGGCTACTACAAGAAGGTTGACGAAAGCTGTACCCACTTGGTCATGGAGGTAATGAGGATGGATCTAAAAGAGTATGCAAGCAAGAACAAAGGGCTCACGCATTTGCAATTGGTCGAGATGCTGCTCCAGATTACCAAGGGCCTCGAGTTCTTGCATGGGACAAACATTGTGCACAGAGACCTCAAGCCAAAAAATGTTCTAATCGATTTCACTGACGAGGACGAAGAGTAGTTTGTCCTGAAACTCGCTGATTTCGGTACTGCATGCATCAACTTCAATACTGAACTCTCACATACAGCTCCAGTAGGGACGAGTATTTTCATGGCCCCCGAGCTACGGAGTGAAGAAAGTAGAAGAAATGGTGAGAGCGTGTACTCAAGATCGGTAGACCTTTACAGCCTTGGAATGACATTCTCCCAGTTGGTCTCGTCGCAGCCTACCATCCAGAAGCCAACAGCAGAGCTGGAGGCTCTAATATGTCAATGTTGTGGCAAGCCATCCCAAAGACCGGTTGTTGGTGACGTTCTGAAGTCATTACGTGACATTCTGCGCTTCAGTCTTATTGGCAAAAGTTCTATATGAAACCTGCCATACACAAAGCATATATGGGCATTTTTAAGTATGGTGGCAACCATGCAGATCCATGGATGTATTTTTTTTTGGTTATAATAGCAATTTAAATGTGACTGTGGTATAATATTTTTGTCATTGGATATGCTGTGTATTCATTGAGCGACACCTCAGACTGCATATGCAACTTTGATATCAATTCATTTCAAATAATGTGATCTCATTGCAAATTTAATAAAGTTTATTTTTCTTCATTCTTGCCTTTTTCTCATTCAATTTCTGATTTTCGGATTGTGACTTCTCTCTCCTTTCCTTTACACATTCAACTATGTCATTTGCCTCTCACTTCTCATGAGAGAGCACTTGCATTTCTCACACAAGAGCACGTACCACAATTATGCACTAATTTAGGCTACATAGTGCTTAAAGTGTTATATGTGAGAGCTTATTGTAATTAAGAGTGATTGATTAAAAAAGGGCATTAGGTAATGGCACAGAGGATTTTTCTTGGTTGGCTTCGTGTTGAGTATGGTGGTTTTGCAGCAAATAATTGAATCATATGGTAGTTGTAATAAAATATTAGCTCCATTTATTTTTCACATTTTTATAGATTTTTGGCATTGCAATGGTTTATTGTGCTCATAAGGGGCTTTTGCTTTTCTTTTTAAGGCTTTTTCTTTTTGGGTTAGTGAGTCTGATGTAGGGAGTGTGGATTATTACAACATAATACTTGCATGTAAGTAAATAACTAATTTATGCCAATTCCTCTCCAATGCATGTACTAATGTGTGTGGTTTCCATTTTAGATTCTTTCATGGCCAAATAACCAAGATTTTTGGAGTAATTTGAATGACACACACTTGGGTACATGAAAGTGTGGTTAAATGACTTTTTTTGCCATCTCATGTTCAACCACCTCACACCATACAATGTGGAATTGTGGTCCAAGGTCTGCAGTAGTAGCTTTGTAAAGAAAAAATGAGTGAAAATAAACAATTAATGCAAAGCATATATATCATACATAACCATTACATCATTTACAATGATATAAACTTTATTTGATATGTCATCTTGCACTAGCAAAATCATTTTTTCTACATTCTATAGATCCAACACTACTTTTGTAATCTCTATGACAGTGAAATCTTCTTCTTCACCTTCCTTTTTTACTTGTGCTCGTAACTTTGTGATTTGCAATGGAGGAGGGCTGTGTGGAAACACCCATACATGCAAGTTCATTGTGTTAGGAGAAAGAAAGATGACATAGTTTCTAATCTTCATGTTGTATGTAAACAAGTATTGTCATTAAGCCATATATAAGAATTTTTTACTCCTGGTTTACACTCTTGTGGCCTTTTTTTTCTTCATAAGAGAGAGCATGAATCTCATTTTGAGATTTGTGGGAGGTTCTTCATTTCATTTCTTTTTTAAAGCATTAGGAATTCATCCAGTCACTATATTAGGTGAGGATAGTGAAATGATATATTTTATATATAAAGGGATATTATGTTTATATCATACCTCCCCACATTTACACTTTTGTGGCTTTTTATTTTCTTCATATCAAATCATACCACCTTAAAATGTATTAGCATCAATGAGACAATTTGAGATTTTAAGCTTAAAAAGTTAGCAAATCACTACACTAATTCTTCCCAACTTAGGGTATTACCTTAAATATAATTTTGATTTTGTCCAAATGTCTAATTCCCATATCACACCAAAAGTATTATTTATATATCAGGTTCTTATATTAAAAATAAATTCATTTTCATTTGCCTCATTAGTAATCCAAGACTATTTGTACCTATATAACACACTTTATTTCTCTCCTAATTAAACTAACTGAAGTAATTGCTAACATTTTCTAACCTGTTTATATATATATTCTAAACTTTTTTTTTAACAGAATGAAAAGCTGAAAACTTTATCAAACAAGCCTAAATACTCAAAATTTATCTTAGTGTTTTTTAATATAGAAGGCAATGGATTCTTGTTCTTCTGCTGCTCTCTCACCTCCTTGTTGTAGACACCTCAACATTGCTACATCAAAGGGTTTTAGAAATTGTACGAACTATCTAGTGGAAAAACTTCAACTTCAACTTCGGATGGAAAGATGTTATGCTTGCTCCTTACGGTTCTGGAAGAACCTGAAGATGAGCATCAATGTCGGGAAGTTCATACCGCCACTTGATTGTCTTGATCTCCATGGAGTGAACCGGAGAATAAGGGACGATCTGATGCCAAAGTTGCAAACTCGAGATTGAATCCTCGGGCCAGGAATTCATTCCCAAGGACTGGACGGATGTGCTTCTGTCTCTGCAAGACGCTGCTGATAATAATCTCTCAGACATGGCCCTGCTCACTGTAAGTAAACGCAAAGTTCTTGATCCGGTTGCAGCTGAATTGACAGCATGAAGGGAGCTGTACTGGGCGATGGAAGAAATGATTCAGAACCCCTTGGTCATGCAAAAACCGCATGAAGAAATCCAAGACGCAATTGGGACCAAGCGCCTCTTAAGGCCTTCAGATGTCCCCGGCTTGCCTTACATGCACGCAATCCTGAAAGAGGCATTAGCCAGCTACACGGTAGGACGAAAGTCTTCTGGGTTAGGCCAGTGTTTTGGATCTCTTCCGATTGCCAGATGTCCATGAGCACCGTGGAGCCTTTCGGGAGACGATCCCATTCTCTGCTGGATGCAGGATGTGCCCGGGGCATCCAGTTGCTGTTCGTTTCATCCCCTTCGCAGTTTTGCAAGCCCAGCCTTCCACCGGATCAAAACTGTTGAGAGTAGATGCTCAGGTAGATGCTTAGCTAGGCAGTTAGGATGATGTGGCATTAGGCAGTTGCCACAGCCCATGTATATATAGCTTCATATATACAATATGAGCAGTCGTTGCCAGCAGTCGCTGCCTTTTGTATCAAAAACTCGGTCGGCCTGACAGAGAAACAAGCAAGCTGGCTTCAGAGCTAACTTTGCAACTCCCCGGCTGAGCTGCAAATCTCTGTATGAATGAGGGTGAAAACTGGCAATTCACAAAATAGGAAGCATTATGCACTTACATGAACTCATTGAAAATCTGATGAAAACAAGTTTTCCTAGTCCCATTGAAGAACAAGTTTAAGTTGGCATCGAGGAAACATTCAAACTTCTGTTGTAGCAAGACCTGTTGCACGGTTTCGACATAAAGGAAGCATCCCTTGAGGCATGCCCTCGGAGCTTGAAACCTCTTGGGGAGATTTGCTCTGTTCCTGGTCCGCATGAAATGGTTTCAGTCCTCTTGGACGAGCTGCAAATCCGCAAGCTTGGACCGGAGGCCCTGGCAGCAGTTGGCGTGAATGGTGCAAACTCTTTCCATGTCGCTGGCTGGCTTGCAAAACCCAGTGAAAACCTCCGTTGGCATGAACGGGATCTTTGGCTCCTATGGCCCGGAACTCGGCGTGGAGCTTGATCCTGTCGAAGACTTCCTGGTCATGGATGTGGTAGTAGAACTTGGCGTGCCTGTCCAAGTACTTGAAGAGCTCGATCGTCCGGTTATTGGATCTCACGTGCATCAACCCCGTGTTGTCCTGGTTGCGAATGTCCGTCTCGTTGCCATTGAAAAAGTCACAAGCTAGCTCCACGTCTGCTTCCGGAGAGAAATTCGAGAAGGGATTTCGCAGCCACAAGACGTCTGCATCCTGGAGACGATTCCTGGAGAAGAAGTTAGTACAGGAAGGCAAGGAGAAAGTGGTTCAAAGTTTTACCGAGAAGATGAAGTTGTATCCCATCTGTAGAAGAATGCTCAGGAACGATATTTTCTTCCTTGTCATTCTCAAGTAGTCCCGGGTCATGTAAGGCTTCTCTGCTGAAAGGTCCACACCATTGCTCTCGAGGAGGATGCAGTGCGGATGAGCTTCCAGGCATTTCTTGTTCGCAGATGGATCCAACGTGAAGATCACCAGTGTCGGAAGAAGGCGAGTCGTATCGTCACCGTCTTGGAAGCTAGCCAGGAAGTAGGATAGCAGTTCTGATGCCCAAGCCTTATTCAAAGGAGTCACGATGACAGTCTTGTTAAATGCAGCTTCCTTCAGCACAGTTTGAAGGTTGCGAAACTCGTCCGCGGTCTGAAAAAATAAAAAAAAAGGAAAGAAAGAAAACAGCAATCAGTGAATAGAAGAGGATTTAACTTACCAAGCTGTTGATGCTATCAGCGGCAATCCAGGGTAACGAAACGGTTGTAACTTGAGGAAATCACAGCCATTGATCCGGGTGACGAAAATGCTGTGCCCTCCATCTTATTTAGCTCGTGTGCATTCGCTCTGAGACAGCCACTCAAACCTTCCTCAGAAAAAATTGGCTTGAATGGAAACGCTACCGTCTCCTTACCCATCACCGCGGTTTTGTACAGTATGCTGCTCCATATACTACTAACACTGCTATATTACGCTCGAGCTTAAGTAGGAAGCAAAGGTTGTCTGTCATCCATCATACCGACTTTAAGGTTTGCCTGTTAGCACCGGATGTAAGTATACATAGCAAATAATATTGATGTCCATACCTGTTCACCAGCACCAGCATCGATAAAAGCGTCATCCTTGCCTAAAGGAAAGAAGGGTGAAATTTAGAATGGACAAATGGAGGTCAAATATAAAGGTTACCTCGTGTAGGTAATCAATCGCCATGGAGTGGAAGCTCATGGAAACCTAATTATTTGTGCCACCCAGGCTGTGATCGCGCATCGGAGCTACATAAAGCTCTCCTCAAGGTCCTCTTTGCTTCGGTCCTCCAGGTAAGGGATCCTCGATAAACAGGATGATTTAAAGCTCGTATCTTTTCAACACCAAGAACGGGGTATAGCTACCGGATGAAGGCTTACAGCAGCAGCAGCAACGGGCAGCACAAGAAGACTTACGGCGGCAGCAGCAACGGTCACTGCAGCAAGGCTTACGGCGGCAGCAGTAGCAAAGGGCAGCACAAGAATGCCTACGGCGGCAGCAAAAACGGGCAGCACAATGTGTTCACAAAGGAAGAGCCCAAGGAGGTGGACATTTTTGCAATCGAGAACCCTACCGAACGCATCCGAGCAAGGTAAGCAAGATTGAGTTTGATGTTTACTTGCTTTTGTTTGTAACAGGTACGAGATCATAGGAACTCATCGTCCGGGTGAGAAGGAGGGATTACTCGTCGACCAATGCAGAAGCTGTAAGCAGAGAGGCCATTGGGAAAGACACTGCAAGGGGGTAAGAAAGCTCACTTATTCTGAATTTTCCAGATTTGACTTTTTGTTTCTTTTTCTAGCATGGAGTGGATCCTTTTGCTCTTGAACAAAAGAAATGCTACCTCTGCCTAGCGAAGGGACACGACACGTATCACTGTTCAAGAGATCCCCTGAGAAATGAGGACTAGAAACTGATACAAACCTGAAGACGGAGTCTCTTCATTGGTCCAGTGTAAGTCCTCTCTGCCCATTCTCTGTTTCCTTATATGTTTATTTGTGTACGTTTTCAGGTGGGTTATATCGTTCAGGTAGCAGACTTCCCGCAATACCATCCTCGTTTCTGCGTCCAACGAATTGAATACGAAAACCTCAAACGGATCTGCAAAAAACATCCAGACTTGGGAATCTTCATTGTGCCTCGGCCACCCCGTCCTCTTGCGGCCCTTATCTGGGAATATTTTCAGCGACTGGATGAACTTTTATACGAAGCAGGCCTAGGCTTCGAGTTCTACAGATCCGTTGAAGAAATGCCTCCAGGGTATAACCGGTATGCAGCTGCAGAAGAAGCATGGACTAAAGAACTGAAAAATGAAGCGAAGGATTGAAAGGTGATGTGTTATAGAATAAGTATTATAGATATTAAGCTGCAAATTTATGAGATAATACTTTGAATCATGATGAAGCTAAGCTGGATTGAGCACGATGAAGCTAAGCTGGATTGAGCACACGGAGAAATATAAGTACCTAGTCAATCAACACCTCCTGTGAAAACTGAAGTAAAGGAGCCCATCACATCAGTGACAAAGGCTTCCAATCGAATTGCTGTAAAGCTAACGTACATAGGTGAGGTGTCAAACACATCTATTACATATAAAGGTAATGATAGTGGCTTTGTAAAAAGTTAGGCAAAATAATCAATAAGCATTTCATCTCAGCAGAATTCAGGGTATACAAGGCTCCATATTTGACCATGGTTCTAGAGACAGGCTTACTCCCAATGGAGATTCTTGCTTGGAGACATTGCATCATGCATGGGTGAAGTGCATACTTTCTTCACAGGCAGAAATTTACAGATGTGGCAATTGCTAAAGCCCAAGTGCTTGGAAAAGGTTGGTGGTAAACTCTCAAGATATGGGGCAATGACCAAGTGTTATGCTTGTCAACGAACGTGTCCATTTGATTGTCATGCTTTTCGTCCTTCGTTTTGCTTAGTGCCGAGAAGAACTGTTACATTATTATGTTAGCAGAGTATTTGCAATAGAGCTACGAGAATACCTGGTGCATAGAAATTATAACAATTGATACTCCTAAGACAAAGTTGATTGTCAGTTTGTGCCGGAATAAGGCGGCAGAAGCCAAAGCCGTAAAGATTGTTGCAAAGGCAAAGGTTTATTTTTTTGAAGGAATGTCAAAGTTTCTAGAATGCAAGAACTTGTTGATTACACTTTGAATGCTATCAACAATTGTCACTACCAAAACATATGCCTACTATGAAATATACTAGTTAGCCATGAAACAGTAGACGAGTACTTTTTCAAGATTGCATCTGGAAAAACGCACCTATAGAAGCGCCACATCAAAAGTTCAAGACTTACCAGCATATTTTAAAAAGATGCAAGAGAGTATTCCTTTCGCTGCGTTGTTGAAGATTAGAAACATTTTTGCCCGAGAGTGGCCCTTGAAAAGATTAAGCCCATTCCCAGCTGACAAAGCGCATATGGATTAAGAAAAAGAAAAAAAAACAGATAGAGAGTAAAGGCCATACCACTAAAATCAGCAGTAACCAGAATCGCTAGAAAGTTGAACATCGCACATTTACAAAAACTACGTGTAGCACACGCACCTGAAGATGAAGACTTGTCTCGAACTGACTCTTAAGGGCGCGGTTTCATTGAACACGGACGCCATGGATGGCACAGTGACCTGTAACTGAGATCGTAGATTGAGCAAACAGCACAACATGCAAAGAAGAGCTGACTTACAAAAATCAAGGTGTATACATATGCAATGGATTGAAGCGGAACGACGACCGTTGTCCCAGTTGGCGTCGTATGCAGCTGATTCACACTGATACCAATCAGTAGCAAAGCAAGTGCCTCCCACTGCTTCCACAAGTTAGAACACATGAAGAGCAAAATGCACGAAGTTTCACCTGTAAAACTGAAAACCGGCGTCTCATGATCACTTTGAGAACAATAAAATACTCATCACAAGAACAATAAGAAGAAAGAAACAACATGTCTCTAACCTTACGGTTACTCAGCATCTTCACAGTCGCTGGATTAAAATACAGCTAAGAAACTTCGCAGAGAAAACCTACTGGTGCTCGCTGGAACAACGAATGCCGCATCCTGGCCGCTCACAACGGGATCCGGCAGGACCTCCACGTCCTTGATGTTGACGGGATAGTTCTTGTACTTGTCTGGAGGAAGAGAGCAAGGATTGTTATGCCCAAGCAGCTAGAAAGGACGAGGGAATGCAACGCGCTTACCGCATAACTCCCAGCCAGAGCCGCGGTGGCCGCCATGGCCAAGACGCACAAGAGATTTCCCGCCGAAGCCATAAAAATGCCCAATTCAGAAACCATACATACCAATGTAAATATTTTATAATCCATGTGACTTTTGACAACACCCAGGAACAGTGATAAAGGAATCACTATCTCTTACATATAAATGTAGTGTTTAAAGTCACTTGTGCTCCTTGAGCACCGCAGAACCATGTAACAGTATATGAATGAATGAATGATAACTTACGCAATGAAAACTAAAGTTAGCTTGGTATTACATTATGCAACAGGCAAGACTTGTATCCACAACAATCATCAATCTTCAGAAAATTAGATCCTAAAGTGCCTAGGCTCCAAATATCCGCTGAAAGACTATCACAATACTTGAGATACAAGTTTCAGCAATGTGGCCACGATTATCAATCCACAAACCTCAGCCGGCATCTCAGCAACGACCTCAATCTGGTAAGGAAAATTGTAACAGTTTCAGATTTTACAGACTAGACACGTACTGATTGCAAAGCGAAGCCATAATGAGATAGCTTAACAACTTCACGTGAAGTATCCACAAGTATGTTTGCAGCTGTGAGCGCCCTGACAAAGAATCTACAGATCAGTATGAAGTTTTCATGATCAATCTTAAAACATGAACCCGTGTTTTGTGCCTCTGCTATGAAGAAACACCAAGCCAGATAAAATCTGACAAGTGTATGCTCGAACTGCATCTTCATTCAATGACTGACTTGCAAGTGTTATTCCATGTACGTCCTCTGCATAAATGAACAGCATGCAATTTACAATCCATGGATAGTTTATTGCTTCAACGCCTGGCTCAGATCCATAGTACTGCAAGATGTGGGGGTGCCACAGAGTGTTGAGTTCTTTAACAACCTGAAAGCCAAAAGTCAAATGTGTATGAACTACTAAGTTAAAGAGTAGACTTCTTTACCACCTTAAGCAGGTTCTCTAACCCCTAGGACTTTCTCGCTATGTGATCGTATTTTCAATCACTACACAAGAGGACTATTCTTTTTCTTTTCCACACACTAGGACTTTAAGACAACATTTTGGAACATTATAGCCTCAAGCCTTGTGAGTACTCTCCCCACTTTGCACCTTTGGGTGCTCTAACCATATAGTAAGGTTTCAATAAGCTATGCCATATATCCAAGTAAGTAGTGCCACTCACACTTAGATTGAAAGCATTGATTATTTGATCTCCCGAGGGAGTTAAGGGTATGAACTACTAAGCTAGAGAGTAAACTTTTTTACCACTTTAGGCAGGTTCTCAGGACTTTCTCACCATGTGATCGTATTTTCAGTCATTACACAAAAGGATTACTTTTCTTCGCTTTCACACATTGGGACTCTAAGACAATATTTTGGAACACTATAGCCCTACACAAACCTCATGAGTATTCTCTCTACTTTCCACCTTTGGGTGCTCTAACCATATAGGTAAAGTAAGGGTCCAATAAGCCATGCCATATATCCAAGTAGGTAGTGTCACCCACACTTAGATTGAGAGCATTGACCATTTGATCTTTCAGAGGAGTGAGAGCTAACTTTTGAACATTTCACCAAATATACCCCATTTATTTGTATATGTTCACTCTAACCTTGAATTCCTTAGTGGTTGTATCACGTGGGTATAACTTTCTTTGGTTACATTAACATTTCCTAGCCAAATTGGCTTTATTGAAATCTTTTTCCTACTATACATAAACAATTAAATTTTTTTATTCTACTTTAGTCATTTAACCACACTTTCAACCACTTGGAAGAGTCTTACTCACCACCTCCATAAATCCTACTCCGGATTTAAGAAAAAATTGCTAATCCCATGAATAATATCTATGCCATTTAACCTTTGCACTTAGTCTAAATGCTCCACATGTTTAATCCCATGACCGACACCCAAAGGTGCTCAAACTCAATTTTAACTTCAGACACCATCTCAAATCCATCTTAAACTCGACTTTGGACTCTAATTTATGTTCATCTTCAACTCCATCACAAGTCCTTCTTAGACTCCATCATAGACTCCATCTTGGATCCATCTCAGACTCCATCTCAGGTGAATGAATAGACAAACCATGAAATGCGCCACTTGAAAATCTATTTGAATGCCGAGGAAACCGGCTCAAATAGAAATCTTCAGAGTCTATCTTCAATGCCCTTAGCTCTTCTTTCAACCCTGCCACTTCAAGGTCCAAATCCTTGTTGATGCTGATGTTGGTTGGCTGGCATGCAAATAATACCTCACATATTATTATGTTTGTTTATGTAAAGACCAGCTTACCAGCCTGCCATAACCACGCACGAAAGGATGATCAAGCAGTTGCACTGCTGTGGGTCTGTTTGTTCCTTTTTCGAAGCACTGATGCAAAAAGTGATTGCATTCGACTAGGAAGCTGTTCCCAGGCATTTCAGGGGTCTCCTCCTCACCAGATTGGACATTGCCTACTTCCTGTGGGAGCTGTGATGAAACCAACCACTTAAAATGTAAAAAGGAAAAAGAAAAAAAAAAAAGAAATGCAAAGACGAACCAAATCTTTGCTGGTGTTGGATATGCTTGAATATTTACTCTGTGGCTCCAAATTCTTGATCATTTCAAGTACAACACAGCCCAGGCTCCAAACATCCGCTGAAAGACTATCACAATACTGGAGATACAAGTTTCAGCAATGTGGCCACGATTATCAATCCACAAACCTCAGCGGGCATCTCAGGAACGACCTCAATCTGGTAAGGAAAATCGTAATAGTTTCAGATTTTACAGACTAGACACGTACCGATTGCAAAGCGAAGCCATAATGCGATAGCTTAACAACTTCACGCGAAGTATCCACAAGTATGTTTGCAGCTGTGAGCGCCCTGACAAAGAATCTACAGATCAGTATGAAGTTTTCATGATCAATCTTAAAACATGAACCCGTGTTTTGTGCCTCTGCTATGAAGAAACACCAAGCCAGATAAAATCTGACAAGTGTATGCTCGAACTGCATCTTCGTTCAATGACCGACTTGCAAGTGTTATTCCATGTACATCCTCTGCATAAATGAACAGCATGCAATTTACAATCCATGGATAGTTTATTGCTTCAACGCCTGGCTCAGATCCATAGTACCGCAAGATGTGGGGGTGCCACAGAGCACTGAGTTCTTCAACAACCTGAAAGCCAAAAGTCAGATGTGTATGAACTACTAAGCTAGAGAGTAGACTTCTTTACCACCTTAGGCAAGTTCTCAAACTGTGCAGGGAGCACATCAGAACTGTAAAGCTCAATTCTGCGGCAACGTTGAAAACTGTTTTTTCTCCACTCAGCACCTGTTTTGTCAGCGTGAGCTCAAATTCATAGCCTGTTACATTTATACACACCTGTGCGCTCTGTTCGAAAGGCTTGCAAGATATCGACTATCACATCCATGTCTGGAAAGTCATTGTCACTTTGGTTCATGATTTCTTCCAGGACCTCTGAATATAGTTCACCATCAGCCAACTTCACAAACAGTTTTAATGATTCACAGAGTAAGCTCTTCAAACTTGTCGCATTCCCCCTTCCCCGTCGCCACCAGTAAACCATGAACTCAACAGAATTATGCAGTCTCAGGTCAATCTCAACTTCCCGAAAACCATGTCTATGCAAGTGTAGAACAGTTTGTGCAACTTGATAAGTGACTTCCAGAAGGCAAGACAGTGTGAGTGCCTCACTATGGTGACTGTGACGGTCACCACTCTCCGTAAATATGTGACGGTCGCGATTCTCGGTAAGTATGTAATGCTTCCCGGTATCGTGGCAGTGGCACCATCCAAAAATCTGCACAATAGAGGAACTTGGACCTAGGAAAGGACCCTTCGTCACCTCGAGATCCTCATCATAATCGAGCTCCACAAGTTTAGCCTCCTGACCCAGCCAACCAAACCACTCCTTAGTAGGAGCGGCAGGCCAATCTTCCATGTTTATCCTTGGACAGTAGCCGCTTTGTCTTTGAGATAAGTACTCGACAAGCTCCTCTGAACTTGCATTCTTCACCAATTCGGCACAATCTTCGTTTGCCAAACTGTGGAGGTCATAATACAGATCCTGCTCCTGCTCAATCTCGGACAGCCGCTCAAGAACACGGCCCGCCCACATACCCTCTTTTCGCCTTGACCTTCGAATTGCGTCCAAGTTGATTATGTCCACACATTCCTGAAGCTCTGACAGAAGTTCCACAACTTCCCATCTCCTGTCATACCTGGATGCAGCGATCCACTCCCAGTGCTCTTTATGACTGCATTGCCTGAGAAATTCCTTCACCCTATCCAATACATGGGCAAGGCGCTCCAAGGCCGCAAATTTGATCGGTGGTGAGAGGTAAGAGATGAGCCCGCATTTGATCCACATGGGGCAGTACCGGGCATGTCGATTGCATACCAGAAACAGTAGCCTGCACAGGCGAGGATACGCTTTGGCATTTGGCGCAAGCTCAGAAATCGCATCGATCGACCTCAGTATGTCCTCCATAGCTCTCTGAAACCTAAATAGGCAAGAGTTTGGCTTTGGGGCTGGGTAAGAGTTTGGCTTTGGGGCTGGGTTGGGTGAAGGGGGGAGGGGGTGTGCAGGTATACGTAGCGGCGTTCATCTTCTTGAGCTCCACCCAATGGCGAGGAGGGTGCATATCAAGGTTTGCAGCGCTCGCGGCTTGATGCCGAGAGATGGACGCGGATCAGCAAGTCCTTACTGTATAGTGAGTTTCGAGAGGCAGCAGGTCAATACCCGAGTACAACATGGGACTCTGGATCCCGAATGGAACGAGACCCTGGTTCTCAACGTTGAGGGGGATGCATTGCAGCGAAGCCATGTTGGTGTCTCTGTTCTGAATCACACGAATGGGCGTTCTCTGGGGAAAATCAAGATAGAGGGTAGTGAGGTTCCGCATCGTTCAGCTGAGCCTTCCGAGCAGCGAGAGTACCCGCTGAAGTTCGGCTTCGGCTGCATCGCGATCATGGAGAGAGGTTCGTTGACACTCAAGCTATGGTGGAGCGGCCCGGTTGACCATCATGAACATCCTTCATCTCATGTCCGAATCCCTGCACCACAAATTGACAGCGTCGAGCATGAAGCTGAACTCGATCAGATCATGGCAAAGATAGACCGGACTGCAAGTGCTGTCGGAGTCCATAAGGAACAGTGCAAGCTGTTGAGTTGGGTTTGCAACGACAGCGTTGAAATGGTGAGAGGGTTTGCAAGCAGTAAGGTCTTCTTGAGGAGGCTAAGACAATTCATCAGGAAAGCAAACGGGCTGATTCGAGAGTGTTCCGTGCATGAGGAGCATTGGGAGTGGCTTGCGGCTGTGAAATACGACAGGGAATTGGAAATTAAGGAGATCGTGGAGGAACTTCATTTCATGTGCGGGCTCATTGGCAAAAGTCCTATTCAGGCTTACCTGCCACAAATCCAAGTAGCAGCCCAACTCGACAAAGCCGCACTGGAAAACCTGGCACAAGATGGGAAATTTAGAAGTCACTATGCTGAATATATACTACAGAGAGTAAATTCTTCAGAGTTGCCCGAGTTGAACCCGGAGAACGTGAGCGTTCATTTTGGGGAAATGCTCGGTAGAGGAAGCCAAGGTGTTGTTCGTAAAGGAACGTGGCATCAAAGGCTAGTTGCAGTGAAGGAGTTCAAGGAGTCTCAAGATCTTCCATCACGAGAACTGCCCGCAGTATCAAGTATACAGGCTGCTCCTCACATTGTTCAAACCATCGGCTACTACAAGGTTGACAAAAGCTGTACCCACTTGGTCATGGAGGTAATGAGGATGGATCTAAAAGAGTATGCCAGCAAGAACAAAGAGCTCACGCTCTTGCAACTGGTCGAGATGCTACTCCAGATTACCAAGGGCCTCGAGTTCCTGCATGGGAAAAACATTGTGTACAGAGACCTCAAGCCAGAAAACGTACTAATCGATTTCACTGATGAGGACGAAGAGCAACTTGTCCTGAAACTCACCGATTTCGGTACTGCATGCATCAACTTCAATACTGAACAATCACATACAGCTCCAGTAGGGACGAGGTTTTTCATGGCCCCCGAGCTGTGGAGTGAAGAAAGTAGAAGAAATGGTAAGAGCATGTACTCAAGATTGGTGGACCTTTACAGCCTTGGAAAGACATTCTCCCAGTTGGTCTTGTCGCAGCCTGCCATCGGGATGCCAACAGCAGAGCTGGAGGCTCTGATATGTCGATGTTCTTCTGATGAGCCATCTGAAAGACCGGTTGTTGATGAGGTTCTGAAGTCATTACGTAACATTCTGCACAACATTCTGTGCTGCAGTCTTGTCGGCGGAAGTGCTATATGAAACCTACAAAGCATATATGGGCATTTTTAAGTATGGTGGCAAACTTGCAGATTTTTTTAAAATTGCTATAATTGCAATTTAAATATGATTGTATTTATAATATTTTTGTCATTGGATATGCTGTGTATTCATTGGCATGACACATTAGACTGCAATGCAACCTTGATATCAATTCTGTGATATCATTGCAAATTTAGTAAGGTTTTTTTTCCTCATTTTTGCCTTTTTCTCATTCAATTTGTGATTTTCTGATTATGACTTCTCTCTCCTTTCCTTTACACATATTCAATTGTGTAAGTTGCCTTTCATTTCTTGTGAGATAATAGCACAAAGGCTTTTTTTTGCTAGTTTCACCATGTTTCAGGTGTTGAGTATGTTGGTTTTGCAGCAAACAATTGGATCATATGGTAGTTGCAATAAAGCATTACCCCCATTGATTTCTCACACTCTTACAAATGTTTCACATTTCAATCATTTATTGTGCTTGAAAGTGACTACATAAGCTTTTCTTTCTAGGGCTTTTGCTTTTTGGCTTGAGTTGTATGATCATTATGGTGAATTTGTTTTGGGGAGTGTGGATTATTACAACACAATATTTGTATGTAAGTAAATAATTAATATATGCCAATTCCTCTCCAATGCATGTATTAATGTGTGTGGTTTCTATTCTAGATTCTTTCCATGGTCATAAGTTAGCAAATCACTACATTACAGTCATGTACCCAAGTGTGTGTTATTCAAACTACTCCAAAAATCTCAATTATTAATTTTCTGAGCTCAAAAAATGCTAATACATTTTAAGGTGGTATGGTTTGAATTTTGATATTTGTGCAAGGTTTTTCACCTCTTTTTTTTTTAAAGCATTAAAAATTTAGTAGTCACTATGTTAGGTAAGGATAGTGAGATGATATACTTTATATATGAGGGGATACTATGTTTATATTGTTATGTATATACCTCCCACATTTACATTTTTGTGGCCTTTTATTTTCTTCACAGGAGAGAGATTTATACTCTCTCCTATAAAGAAATTAAAAGGCCACAAATGTGTAAACTAGGAGCAAATAATTCTCATATATAGCTCAACAACAACACTTGTTTGCATACAACATCAAAATTAGAGACTATGTTATCTTCTTTTCTTCCCACACAATGAGTCTGCATATATGAAGAGGAAGATCTCACTGTTATAGAGATTTATAGAAGTAGTGTTGAATTCTTAGAATGTAGAAAAAAAAAATTTGCTAGTGCAAGATGACATATTGAATAGAGTTTATATTGTTGTAAATGGTGTGATGATTATGTATAACATATATGCTTTGTATTAATTGCTTAAATATCTTTTACTTGTTTTCACTCATTTTTTCTTTGTAGGGTTACTAGCAAAATTACTACCACAGACTTTAGACCATAATTTTACATTGTATAGTGTGAGGTGGTGGATGAATGTGAAGTGGTTGAATCTGAAATGACAAAAGAGGATTATTCTTGTGATTAGCATATAATTTTGTAAATGGATTTGATTAAAAAATGTATTTGAAAAAAATATTAAAATTTGAAACTGATTTCAAATGAAAATAAAAATCTACATAAATTCATTTCATCATGAAAAGAAATCATTTACATTAAAGACGAAATTAAAACATAATATTTTTATTTCTTTTTACATTTTAAAAGATACACAAAAATATTATAAATATCTATAAATTATTAAGAATATTCTATTACCCTGACTTCTATAATTTTATTAAACCTAAAAACATAGATTTAACTTTTTTTATTTCAATTATTAATAATAAAAATTTGGAAGAATGTATAAGTGACAAAACATTTCATTCTATTTTAATCATTTAACCAACTTTCAACCACTTAAAGGTGTCTCACTCACAACTTTCACAAGTATTCATCTCAATTTAAGTGTTAGATTGTTCACCCAATAGAGAACATGTAAATATGGCCTCAAATCGACTTTAACTTTATACTTGGTCCAAATGTATAACTTTTATATCACATACCAAAAATACTATTGACATATCAAGTTTTTATATTAAAGATAAATCCATTTTCATTACCATTTATATATATATAACACTTTATTTCTTTCCTTTTAAACTAATTGAAAAAAGGTAATTGCTAACATTTCTAACCCATTTGTATATATTCTCAACTAACTCTTTTTGCAATAGAATGAAAAGGAAGAGATGACAATTTTATTAAATAAGCCTAAATACTCCAAAACTATCTTTTTTTGAGCTATAATTAATTTAGTTATTGTGTAAAATGCCAAGATTAAAAAGTCAAACATTAATATTTTAAAAGGCATTATAAAGTTACTCTTGCTCTCTCACCTCCCTATTGTCAGCACAGCCTGTTATTCATACACACACCAACTAAAGAAAAACCAAAACTTCAACTTCAACTTCAGATGGAAAGATGTTATGCTTGCTCCTTACAGTTCTAGAAGAACCTAAAGATGATCACTATCTCTGCACTTGCTCACTCCAGGCTGGATGCTGCTGCTGCTTACCAAGAATCTGAAATGGAGCTCATAGTCAAAGATGTTGGACGTCTTGCCACCGCCTCCAAAGTCATCACACTCAGAGAATTCATAGGCTCTGGTGCGTTCTGCCAGGTTCTATTTGGACTTGATCAGCCTGATTGAGAAGCAGACCCTGAGCATCAATGTCGGGAAGTTCATACCGCCACTTGATTGTCTTGATCTCCATGGAGTGAACCGGAGAATAAGGAACGATCTGATGGCAAAGTTGCAAACTCGAGATTGAATCCTCGGGCCAGGAATTCATTCCCAAGGCCTTCAGATGTCCCCGGCTTACCTTACATGCACGCAATCCTGAAAGAGGCATTAGCCAGCTACACGGTTCTTTGGAAAGCGTTCAGGACGACAGTCTTCTGGGTTAAGCCAGTGTTTTGGATCTCATCCGATTGCCAGATGTTGATGAGCACCGTGGAGCCTTTTGGGAGATGATCCCATTCTCTGCTGGATGCAGGATGTGCTCGGGGCATCCAGTTGCTGTTCGTTTCATCCCCAGCCTTCCACAGGATCAAAACTCGGTCGACCTGATAGAGAAACAAGCAAGCTGGCTTCAGAGCTAACTTTGCAACTCCCCGGCTGAGCTGCAAATCTCTGTATGAATGAGGGTGAAAACTGGCAATTCACAAAATAATGCTACATGAACTCATTGAAAATCTGATGAAAACAAGTCCCATCGAAGAACAAGCTTAAGTTGGCATTGAAGAAACATTCAAACTTCTGTTGTAGCAAGACCTGTAGCATGGTTTCGATGTAAAGGCCGAGAAGCATCCCTTGAGGCATGCCCTCGGAGCTCGAAACCTCTTGGGCCGATTTGCTCTGTTCCTGGTCCGCATGAAATGGTTCCAGTCCTCTTGGACGAGCTGCAAATCCGCAAGCTTGGAGCGGAGACCCTGGCAGCAGTTGGCGTGAATGGTGCAAACTCTTTCCATGTCGCTGGCTGGCTCGCAAAACCCACTGAAAACCTCCGTTGGCGTGAACCGGATCTTGGCTCCTATGGCCCGGAACTCTGCGTGGAGCTTGATCCTGTCGAAGACTTCCTGGTCGTGGATGTGGTAGTAGAACTTGGCGTGCCTGTCCCAGTCCGGTTAGGGTTTGTCCGGTTATTGGATCTCAACCCCGTGTTGTCCTGGTTGCGAATGTCCGTTTCGTTGCCATTGAAAAAGTCACAAGCCAGCTCCACGTCTGCTTCCGGAGAGAAATTCGAGAAGGGATTTCGCAGCCACAAGACGTCTGCATCCTGGAGACGATTCCTGGAGAAGAAGTTAGTACAGGAAGGCAAGGAGAAAGTGGTTCAAATTTTTACTGAGAAGATGAAGTTGTATCCCATCTGTAGAAGAATGCTCAGGAACGATATTTTCTTCCTTGTCCTTTTCAAGTAGTCCCGGGTCATGTACGGCTTCTCTGCTGAAAAGTCCACGCCATTGCTCTCGAGGAGGATGCAGTGCGAATGAGTTTCCAGGCATTTCTTGTGCGCAGATGGATCCAACGTGAAGATCACCAACGTCGGAATAAGGCGGGTCGTATCGTCACCGTCTTGGAAGCTAGCCAGGAAGTAGGATAGCAGTTTTGATGCCCAAGCCTTATTCAAAGGAGTCACGATGACAGTCTTGTTAAAAGCAGCTTTCCTTCAGCACAGTTTGAAGATTGCGAAACTCGTCCGCGGTCTGAAAAAATAAAAAAAGGAAAAAAAGAAAGTAGCAATCAGTTGAATAGAAGAGGATTTAACTTACCAAGCTGTTGATGCTATCAGCGGCAATCCAGGGTAACAGTAGCATCCGAAAGGCTGCACTCGTAGGCCAGCTGCCTGTTGTACCACTGTGGCTCCAGAGATGAGTCAAGTTGTAGACGCTGAAAATATAGAACAGAACAAGCAAGCCCGGTCTGCTCAAGCTGTTGTGATGTAAAAAGGGATGGACATAACACTCATGAGCTCGTTCATTGTGTTCCGACTCTTTTTACATGACTCAAGGGACATGACTCATGACAGCTGATCGAGACTGACATCTACTACCCCTCCCACTCAGCCGAAACAGATGGAGAGCAGACTCCCAGTGCAGCGCGATGGCGTTCAAAGGAGTCTCGAGCCAAAGCCTTCGTGAGTATATCAGCCACCATTGCCTCGGTGGGGCAATATTCCAGCAACAACTTTCCAGGACTTGTTCCCACACGTAGTGGAAACGAATCTCGATGTGTTTCGTCCGAGAATGGAAGCGAGGATTGGCGGCCAGTGCAAGAGCACTTTGGTTGTCCGAGAACAGCACCATAGGGCCGGTGCAAGCAGGAATCTGGGGCAGGTCACGGCAGAACTGGGTCAACCAAATCGCTTCTTTGCTGGCAGCAGTTAGGGCAATGTACTCTGCCTCTGTCGAGGACAGAGCCACCAGCGGCTGGCGCTTACTGCTCCAGGACACAGCAGCCCCATGGAGCAAGAACGCATACCCGGAGGTAGAGCGCCTTGAGTCCTGGTCGCCCGCCCAGTCCGCATCCGAGTACCCATGAAGTTCCTGTGACACAGCAGCGCCATAGTGAAGCTGCAAATGCAAGGTACCTCGAACGTAGCGGAAAATCCGCTTCACAGCTTGCCAATGTCCAGGTCCGGGGTTCTCGAGGAACTGGGAGACCATCCCAAGTTCCCAACAGCATAGGCGAGATCTGGTCGCGTGCCCAGCATCAAATAAACAAGACTTCCCACAGCTTGACGATATGGCACCGTGTACTCTCAGGGGCCATGTCACGGCTGAGTTTGTGATTGACCTCAAGAGGTGTGGCCATGGAAGAGCAGTCCAGCATATTGAAGTGTTCCAAGATCTCCCTTGCATAGTGAGCTTGTGTCAAACTCAAAGTGTGTGCTCCTCGATTGCGTATAATTTGGATGCCAAGGAAATGGCGAAGCTCGCCCAGGTCAGACATCTCAAATTCTTCACTCAGCTTCTTTTTCATCTCATCCAGCAGGTGGCGGGTTTTTGCACCGAGAATGCAGTCGTCAACGTACACAGCAACCAGGAGAAAATCGTCACCACACTTGTACAGGTACACGTTTCCTTCCACTGCAAGAGGAACACACCCCAGGCTCTTGAAGAACGCATCAATGCGTTCAAACCAAACCCTCGGGGATTGTTTAAGCCCATACAGGGCGCGATTCAGCTTGCAAACAAGATATTCCTCACCAGGTTTGACGAATCCAGGTGGTTGCTTGACGTAGACCTCCTCGTTCAACTTGCCGTGCAGGAAAGCAGTGCGAACGTCCAACTGGTGCAGTTCCAGGTCGTACTTGGCAGCCAGTGCAAGGATCACTCGCACAGAGGTCAACTTCACAACTGGTGAGTACGTCTCCATGTATTCCAAACCTGGAATCTGGCTGAATCCCCGTGCGACAAACCTGGCCTTGAACTTTGCTACAGTTCCATCAGGTTTGTACTTGACTGTGTAAATCCATTTCGAGCTCACAAGGTGAGCACCTTCAGGTAAGGTTGTCTTTGTCATTGTATTGTTTCGCTCATGCGAATGCATTTCAGCATTCATGGCTTCTCGCCACTGGGAAGCATGAGGTCCAGCTAATGCCTCGTCAACATTCGCTGGAATGGGGATTCGCTCTGGATTAGCAGCCACGAAGTTAGCCTGGTGCGTTCCTTTCTTTTTAATTTTTCCAAAACTAAAGAAGGGACGAGATTGCTCAGCTTCCAGTTGCAGCCTCGATGGTACGGGAACTCGAGCAGAGCGCCGTGGTTCAGGACATGCTGGAGGGTGGATCACAGGTGGTGGAACAAGTGGAGAGTCTGGGAGAGCTCCCACTGAAGTTGGCGACCTGCTTCCAGCTCCCACTGAAGGTGATGATCCACGTCCAGCTCCCACTGAAGATGAGCCGAGGAAGAACTCAGGAGCAGCTTGAAATTCCTCGTCGCCCTCGAAGTAAGTGTTCATCAGCTCTTCAGAGAAGCTAGGTGTTCTCACTGGAGGAGATTCTTGCAGAGGCGTAGCTGGAGGGCGTGGTGGCAGTGCTGGAGGAACCACCAGGTTACCACCAGCAGGAGCAAGAGGCAGCAATGGAGGCAGCTGTAGTCACGTGAACTGTGTCCACCAGCTGGAGTTCCACGAAAGTAGGAGCAGGAACTTCAGCGCGATCCTTGTACAGCTTGCTCTCATCAAAGAGCACATCCCGTCTTTCCAGCAAAGTCTTGCGCTTGAGAGAATAAAGGTGATATCCTTTCATGCCCTCCAAATATCCCAGGAAAATGGATGGCTCAGCCTTTGACTCCAGCTTTCGGCGTTGCTTGTGATGATCGTAACCAGGTGCGTGACCAGTCCAAAGCTCATAAGGAGTGGTCTTCCCAAGCAGGGCACGTGTTGGCAACCGGTTTCGAACATAAACAGCCGTGTTAACTGCCTCTCCCCAGAAAGCAGCCGGCATTCCCGCGTGAAGCAGCATACAGTGTGCAGCTTCTATGATGGTGCGATTCACCCTCTCGACAGGAGAACACTTCTGACTTATGAGCCAGCAGGTACACGATCAGGTGCCGTGTGTAATCATCCAGGAAGGTGACTACGTAACGTTTGCCTCCCAAAGATTCAACCATAATCGAACAAATGTCCGAGTGTACCAACTCAAGAACAGAACTTGCTCGAGAATGAGAAATCTGTGGAAAAGGAAAAACGTGGTGTTTTCCACCAACACAAGCTTCGCAAAAGGGCAGCGCGCTCCCAGGCGCCACAGGATTTTTAGCTGTTGCTCGTTCACGTGACCAAGGCGCTGGTGCCAGGTTGCAAGTGTCGGTGGAACCTGAGCCATCAGCGCCACAGGTGGAAGGATCACGTGAGCATCCAGGCGGTAGAGCGTATCAACTGGAACTCCAAGTCTCCAGTCTCGGCATTGCTGTGAACAGAGTATCGAAGCCTACTTGAGCAGCAGTTCCAATCGACAGCAGCGTGTGTGTAAGTCCCGGAACATAAGACACAGGATAGATCTCCCGGATTTCTCCAGAAGAGAGCTGAACCCTGATTGTTCCTTTGCCTAGTACGTTGTGAGCAGAGGAGTCACCGAGTCCCACGGCGTCACTCTCACACGGTTCTTGGTAGTCAAAAAACAAGGAAGCCATGGGGGTGCTGGGTCTCCTGTCACGGACGATCGCGCCAGGGCGTTGCTGCTTGCGACCGTCACGCCTGCGTTTAGCACGCTCGCATCTGTTCTATCTCACATGGCCATGAACTTTGATCAAGTCGTGGGTGCCCTAATTGAAGAGGAACGCAAGATGAAGCGATGCCCTCAGCCAAATCTTCCTTGCTTTATGCTGGTGCTGCGGGAGGATCATCCTAGTCCTCTCAAGCTCAGCCGAACGACATTTCGTGGCATGTGTCACTATTGCCACAAACCTGGACACTTGGCGAGGGATTGCAAGAAAAAGAAAGTTGATCGTGCTAAAGCTGCCAAGAACAAAGACAAAGGAAACATTGTTCTTGGAATGATGCTCCAGAATCCAGCCACAGCTCTGGTCCGAGCACGGGCTGGTGGCTGCTGCTTGCAGAGCGAGCCATCAAGAGCTTACAAGGAGTCCCAGAGCCCTTGTCTTTGTTTCCTTTGTCATTGTTCTTGGCAGCTTTAGCATGATCAACTTTCTTCTTCTTGCAATCCCTCGCCAAGTGTCCAGGTTTGTGGCAATAGTGACACATGCCACGAAAACCAGTGTCGTTCGGCTGAGCTTGAGAGGACGAGGATGATCCTCCCGCAGCACCAGCATAAAGCAAGGAAGATTTGGCTGAGGGCATCGCTTCATCTTGCGTTCCTCTTCAATTAGGGCACCCACGACTTGATCAAAGTTGTGAGATAGAACAGATGCGAGCGTGCTAAACGCAGGCGTGACGGTTGCAAGCAGCAACGCCCTGGCGCGATCGTCCGTGACAGGAGACCCAGCACCAGTCAATTCAGCCATTAGCCCTCGAATCCGTCCCACGTACACAGCAATGGTTTCACCCGTTTCCATGTGAAGCGCCAAGAATTGTTGATTCAGCAGCATGGAAGAATTTGTGGCTTGGGCCACGAAGATCGTGCGAAGCAACGTCCAGATTTCAGCAGCGGTCTTGGTGAGATCAATCAGCGGCAAGAATTCATCGCTCAATCCCAAGCCAATGACGGTGATGGCTTGCTGATTGCGAAAATCCCAATCTGATTGTAGCGTCTGCTCAGCGGGACGAGGCTCAGTCCCATCAACGATGTTCCACGCCCGTTTCGCAGAGAGAATCAGCCTGATTCTTGTCGCCCATGTGAAGAAATTCGTGCCACTGAATTTCTCCACCTCCTCTGTGGAAGCCACGAGAACTTGAGCAGCAACCGGTGGCGGCGGCGGCGGCGGCGGTGGTGGTGTTGAAGCGGCCATGACAGCAACGTCAAATCAACCAACCAGGATCGTCCCCGAAATCCGATACCATGTTGTGATGTAAAAAGGGATGGACATAACACTCATGAGCTCGTTCATTGTGTTCCGACTCTTTTTACATGACTCAAGGGACATGACTCATGACCACGTGGACATGCCACGTCAGCCGATCGAGACTGACATCTCGACACGGGCACCTCATCACTGGAAAAACAAAAAGAAAACACGAAACGGTTGTAACTTGAGGAAATCACAGCCATTGATCCGGGTAACGAAAATGCTGTGCCCCCCATCTTATTTAGCTCCTGTGCATTCGCTCTGAGACAGCCACTCAAACCTTCCTCAGCAAAAATTGGCTTGAATGGAAATGCTACCGTCTCCTTACCCATCACCGCGGTTTTGTACAGTATGCTGCTCCATATACTACTAACACTGCTATATTACTGCGCTCGAGCTTAAGTAGGAAGAAAAGGTTGTCTGTCATCCAGTATACCGACTTTAAGGTTTGCCTGTTAGCACCGGATGTAAGTATACATAGCAAATAATATTGAAGTTCATACCTGTTCACCAGCGCCAGCAGTCATATCGATAAAAGCGTCATCCTTGGGCCTAAAGGAAAGAAGGGTGAAACTTAGAACGCACATATGGAGGTCATATATAAAGGTTACCTCGTGTAAGTGTTATGCTTGTCAACGAACGTGTCCATTTGATTGTCAAGCTTTTCGTCCTTCGCTTTGCTTAGTGCCGAGAAGAACTGTTTTACGTTAGCAGAGTATTTGGAATAGAGCTACGAGAATACCTGGTGCATAGAAATTATAACAACCTAAGACAAAGTTGATTGTCAGTTTGTGCCCGAATAAGGCGGCAGAAGCCAAAGCCGTAAAGATTGTTGCAACAGTAGACGAGTACTTTTTCAAGATTGCATCTGGAAAAACGCACCTATAGAAGCGCCACATCAAAAGTTCAAGACTTACCAGCATATTTTAAAAAGAAGCAAGAGAGTATTCCTTGTGCTGCGTTGTTGAAGATTAGAAACATTTTTGCCCGAGAGTGGCCCTTGAAAAGATTAAGCCCATTCCCAGCTGACAAAGCGCACATGGATTAAGAAAAAGAAAAAAACAGATATAGAGTAAAGGCCACACCACTAAAATCAGCAGTAACCAGAATCGCTAGAAAGTTGGACATCGCTCCATAACTGTAAAGAAACAGGTTCTGCAAAAAGAAACAGAGAGAAAAACATTTACAAAAACTACGTGTAGCACACGCATCTGAAGATGAAGACTTGTCTCGAACTGACTCTTAAGGGCGCGGTTTCATTGAACACGGACGCCATGGATGGCACAGTGACCTGTAACTGAGATTGTAGATTGAGCAAACAGCACAACATGCAAAGAAGAGCTGACTTACAAAAATCAAGGTGTATACATATGCAATGAATTGAAGCGGAACGACCACCGTTGTCCCGGTCGGCGTCGTATGCAGCTGACTCACACTGATTCCAATCAGTAGCAAAGCAAGTGCTTCCACAAGTTAGAACACATGACGAGCAAAATGCACGAACTTTCACCTGTAAAACTGAAAACCGGGGTCTCATGATCACTTTGAGAAGCAAGGCAATCATCAGCACCTACAATAAAATACTCATCACAAGAACAATAAGAAGAAAGAAACAATATGTCTCTAACCTTAAGATTACTCAGCATCTTCACAGTCGCTGGATTAAAATACAGCTAAGAAAATTCGCAGAGAAAACCCACTCGTGCTCGCTGGAATAACGAATGCCGCCTCCTGGCCGCTCACAACGGGATCCGGCAGGACCTCCACGTCCTTGATCTTTAGCTCGTGTCCCCAATTCAGAAACCATGCATACCAATGTAAATATTATAATCCATTACAACAGTGATCAAGGAATCTGTATCTCTCACTTATAAATGTAGTGTTTAAAGTCACTTGTGCTTCCTGAGCTCCGCACGCACGTCCTCCACAAGTTTCTCAATGTGTTGCTAGCATGCAAATAATCTCACATGTTATTATGTTTGTTTATGTAAAGACCAGCTTACTATGTGCACCAAAGGTTGATGAAGCAGTTGCTTCACTGTGGGTTTGTTTGTTCGTCTTTCGAAGCACCAATGCAAAAAGCGATTGCATTCAACTAGGAAGTTGTCCCCAGGCATTACAGGGGTCTCCTCCTCACCAGATTGGACGTTGACTACTTCCCGTCCAAAGAAGTGTGAGAGCTGTGATGAAACCAACCACTTAAAACGTTTTTAAGAAAATTTTAAAAAATGCAAAGGGAGCATATAAACCGTGCTTGAGTATTTACCCTGTGGCTCCAAATTCTTGATCATTTGAAGTACAACACAGCCCAGGCTCCAAACATCCGCTGAAAGACTATCACAATACTGGAGATACAAGTTTCAGCAATGTGGCCACGATTATCAATCCACAAACCTCAGCCGGCATCTCAAGAACGACCTCAATCTGGTAAGGAAAATCGTAACAGTTTCAGATGTTACAGACTAGACACGTACTGATTGCAAAGCGATGCCATAATGAAATAGCTTAACAACTTTATGCGAAGTATCCACGAGTATGTTTGCAGCTGTGAGCGCCCTGACAAAGAATCTACAGATCAGTATGAAGTTTTCACGATCAATCTTAAAGCATGAACCCGTGTCTTGCGCCTCTGCTATGAAGATACTCCAAGCCAGATAAAATCTGATAAGTGTATTTTCGAATTTCATTTTCGTTGAAGGACAGACTTGGAAGTGACGTCCTCCTCATAAATGAACAGCATGCCATTCACAATCCATGGATAGTTTATTGCTTCAATGCCTGCCTCAGATGCATAGTACCGCACGATGTTGGGGTGCCGCAGAGCGCTGAGTTCTGCAACAACCTGAAAGCCAAAAGTCAAATGTGTATGAACTACTAAGCTAGAGAGTAGACTTCTTTACCACCTTAGGCAGGTTCTCAAACTGTGTAGGGAGCACATCAGAACTGTAAAGCACAATTCTGCGGCAGGGTAGGCCTCTGTAAAGGCCTTTAACATATATACGTTTGGAGTGGAGCTCAGAGTGTGGAATAATGTTTGTCTGTCTCCACTCAGCACCTGTCCTGTCAGCGTGAGCTCAAACTCATAGCCTGTTACGTTTATACACACTTGCGTGCTGCCTTCAAAAGGGTTGCAAGATATCGATGATCACATCCATGTGTGGAAAGTCATAGTCACTTTGGTTTACTATTTCTTTCAGGGCCTCTGCATTTAGTTCACCATAATTAACTTTAGTTAGCTTCACAAACAGTTTTAATGATTTACAGAGTAAGTTTTTCAAGTTTGTCACATTCCCTCTTTCCCATTGCCACCAGTAAACGATGAACTCAACAGTATTACAACTTCCGGAAAACCATGTCTATGCAAGTGTTGCAACCAACTTTGGACAACGTTTATAAGTAGGTGAGACATGGTGGGTGCCTCCCGTATGGTGAGTGTGACAGTCGCCACTCTCCCTAAATATGTGACCTCATGATTCTCGGTAAGTATATAATGCTTCCTGGGATTGTGGCAGTGACACCATCCAAACATCTGCACAATAGAGGAACTTGGACCTAGGAAAGGACCATTTGTCACCTCAAGATCCTCATCATAATCGAGCTCCACAAGTATAGCAGCCTGACCCTGCCAACCAAACCACTCCTCAGTAGGGCCAGTGGGCCAATCTTCCATGTTTATTCTTGGACAGTAGCCGCTTTGTCTTTGAGATAAGTACTCGACAAGCTCCTCTGAATTTGCATTCTTCACCAATTCGGCACAATCTTTGTTTGCCAAACTGTGGAGGTCATAATACAGATCCTGCTCCTGCTCAATATCGGACAACCACTCAAGAACACGGCCTGCCCACATACCCTCTAACCTTGGAATTGCGTCCGAGTTGATTATGTCCACACATTCCTGAAGCTCTGACAGAAGTTCCACAACTTCCCATCTCCTGTCATACCTGGATGTAGCGATCCACTCCCAGTGCTCTTTATGACTGCATTGCTGGAGAAATTCCTTCACCCTATCCAATACATGGGCAAGGCGCCTCAATGCCGCAACTGGGAGTGTGCATAGTGGGAATCTGGCATTTTGTATCTGCTTCCACATGGAGCAGTACAGGGCATGTTGATTGCATGCCAGGAACAGCAGCCTGCACAGACGAGGATACGCTTTGGCATTTGGCGCAAGCTCAGAAATCGCATCGATCGACCCTCAGCTCTCTGAAACCTAAATTTGACCATAGAGAACCTACGAAACTGCCTATGCCCTTTTCCCGCTTAACCCAAGAACCCTAAACTCTTTCATATAAGTTCCTAAACCAATTTTCAGAATATTCTCGTATCTGGCTTTGACTTGGCTTGGGTGACGGAGGGAGGGGGTGTGCAGGTATACGTAGCGCTGTTAGAGATGGATGCAGATCAGCAAGTCCTTACTGTATGGTGAGTCTCGAGGGGCAGCAGGTCAAGACCCAAGTACGACACAGGACTCTGAATCCGGAATGGAACGAGACCCTGGATCTCAACGTTGAGGGGGATGAATTGCAGCGAAGCCATGTTGGTGTCTCTGTTCTGAATCGCACGAATTGGCGTTCTCTAGGGAAAATCAAGATAGAGGGTAGTGACGTTCCGCATCGTTCAGCTGAGCCTTCCGATTCCGAGCAGAGAGTACCCGCTGAAGATCAGCTTGGGCTGCATCGTGATCATGGAGAGAGGTTCGTTGACACTCAAGCTATGGTGGAGCAGCCCGGTTGACCATCATGAACATCCTTCATCTCGGGTCCGAATCCCTGCACCACAAATTTACAGCGTCGAGCATGAAGCTGAACTCGATAAGATCATGATGAAGATAAATCACATTGCACAGATTGTCGAGGTCCATTACCAACAATTCTTGCTGTTGCGTTTGGTTTGCAAACTGAGCGTTGAAATGGCGAGAGGGTATGCAGGCAGTAGTAAGCTCTTCTTAAGGAGGCTAAGACAATTCATCAGGAAAGCAAACGGGCTGATTCGAGAGTGTTCCAAGCTTGAGGAGCATTGGGAGTGGCTTGCGGCTGTGAAATACGATAGGGAATTGGAAATCAAGGAGATTGTTGAGGAACTTCATTTCATGTGCGGGCTTATTGGCAAAAGTCGCATTCAGACTTTGCTACCAGAATTGCATGCAGCAGCCTAGGTCTACAAAACCGCACTAAAACAACAGGCCCAACGTGGAAATTTTAGAAGTCACTATGCTGAATACATACTACAGAGAGTAAATTCTTCAGAGCTGCCTGAGTTGAACTTAGAGGACGTGAGTGTTCATTTCGGGGAAATGCTCGATAGAGGAAGCTATGGTGTTGTTCGTAAAGGAATGTGGCATCAAAGGCTAGTTGCAGTCAAGGAGTTCAAGGAGTCTCAAGATCTTCCATCACGAGAACTGCCCGCAGTATCAAGTATACAGGCTGCTCCTCACATTGTTCAAACCATCAGCTACTACAAGGTTGACAAAAGCTGTACCCACTTGGTCATGGAGGTAATGAGGATGGATCTAAAAGAGTATGCCAGCAAGAACAAAGGGCTCACGCTCTTGCAACTGGTCGAGATGCTGCTCCAGATTACCAAGGGCCTCGAGTTCCTGCATGGGAAAAACATTGTGTACAGAGACCTCAAGCCAGAAAACGTACTAATCGATTTCACTGATGAGGACGAAGAGCAGCTTGTCCTGAAACTCACTGATTTCGGTATGCATCAACTTCAATACTGAACACTCACATACAGCTCCAGTAGGGACGAGGTTTTTCATGGCCCCCGAGCTGCTGAGTGAAGAAAGTAGAAGAAATGGTAAGAGCATGTACTCAAGATTGGTGGACCTTTACAGCCTTGGATAGACATTCTCCCAGTTGGTCTTGTCACAGCCTGCCATCGGGACGCCAATAGCAGAGCTGGAGGCTCTGATATGTCGATGTTCTTCTGACGAGCCATCCGAAAGACCGGTTGTTGATGAGGTTCTGAAGTCATTATGTAACATTCTGAACAACATTCTGTGCTGCAGTCTTGTCGGCGGAAGTGCTATATGAAACCTGCCATACACAAAGCATATATGGGCATTTTTAAGTATGGTGGCAACCATGCAGATCTATGGATTTATTTATTTATTTTCAATTGCTATAATAGGAATTTAAATATGATTGTATTTATAATATTTTGTCATTGGGTATTCATTGCCATGACACATTAGACTGCCATGGAACCTTGATATCAATTCATTTCAAATAATGTGATATCATTGTAAATTTAGTAAGGTTTTTTTTCCTCATTTTTACCTTTTTCTGGTTTTCTAATTGTGAATTCTCTCTCCTTTCCTGTACACATATTCAACTGTCATTTGCCTCTCATTTATCATGAGAGAGCACTTGCATTTCTCACATAATAACATGCTTATTCTCACACAAGAGCACACTCTCTTTTCTTTCAGCACCTTGGTGGTGTGTTTGGAGCACGCACCACAATTTTGCAGTAATCTAGGCTACATAGTGCTTAAAGTGTCATAGGTGAGAGTGATTAATTACTGTAAGGGCATTATGTAATGGCACAAAGGCTTTTTTTTGGCTGGCTCCACCATGTTTTGGGTGTTGAGTATGTTGGTTTTGTAGCAAATAATTGGATCATATGGTAGTTGCAAACATTAACTCCATCAATTTCTCACACTCTTATATATTTCAATGGTTTATTGTGCTTGAAAGTGACTTTTCTTTCTAGGGATTTTGCCTTTTGGCTTGAGCTTTATAATTATTATAGTGGGAGTGTGGATTATTACAACACAATATTTGTATATAAGTAAATAACTAATTTTGGCAATTCCTCTCCAATGCACGTAATGTGTGTGGTTTCTATTCTAGATTCTTTCCATGGCCATAAGTTAGCAAATCACTACACTACAATCATGTACCCAAGTGTGTGTCATTCAAACTACTCCAAAAATCTCAATTATTAACTTTCTGAGCTCAAAATCTAAAATCATTTTGCTGATGCCAATACATTTTAAAGTGGTATGGTTTGAATTTTTAGATTTGTGTAAGGTTCTTCACCTTCTTTTTTAAAGCATTAAGAATTCAGTAGTCACTATGTTAGGTGAGCATAGTCAGATAATATACTTTATATATGAGGGGATACTATGTTTTTTTTGTTGTGTATATACCTCCCATATTTACACATTCTTTTATTTTCTTCACATGAGAGAGATTCATACTCTCTCCTGTGAAGAAAATAAAATTGTGAACTAAGAATTGCTATATATGGCCCAAAAACAATATTTGTTTGCAACATCAAAATTAGAGACTATGTCATCTTTTTTTCTCCCCACACAACAAACCTATATGTATAGGTGTTTCCACATAACCTTCCTCCATTGCAAATCTTAGCACAAGTAAAGGAGGAGGTGAAGTGGAAGATCTCACTAGTATAGAGATTTATAGAAGTAGTGTTAAATTTTTAGAATGTAGATAAAACAATTTTGCTAGTGCATAATGACATAATAAATAGAGTTTATATCATTGCAGATGGTCTGATGATTATGTATAATATATATGCTTTGCATTAATTGCTATTAGATATTTCTTGTTTATTTTCACTCATTTTTTCTTTGTAGAGCTACTAGCAAAGTTATTGCCATGAACTTTGGACCACAATTTTACATTGTATAGTGTGAAGTGGTGGATAAATATGAGGTGGTTTAACCTGAGATGACAAAAAATGACTATTCTTGTGATTAGGATATAATTTTGTAAATGGATTTGATTGCAAAGTGTATTTTACCTTGCAAAAAAAACATACAATTTTGAAACTGATTCCAAATCAAAATCAAAGTCTACATAAATTCATTTCATCATGAAAAGAAACCATTTACATTAAAGACAAAACTAAAACACAATAATTTTATTTATTTTTACATTTTAAAAGATACATACAAGTATTTTAATTATCTATAAATTATTAGGAGTATTCTATTACCTTGAGTTCTATAATATTATTAAACTTATAAAAATAGATTTAACTATTGTTATTTTGATTATTAATATTAAAACTTTGGAAGAACATATAAGTGACAAAATTTTCCATTTTATTTTAATCATTTAACCACACTTTCAACTATTTAAAGGTGTCTCATTCACAACTTTCACAAGTATTCATTTCAACTTAGGGTACTATTTTGAATATGGCCTCAAATCGACTTTGACTTTGTATTTGGTCCAAATATCTAACTTTTATATCACACATCAAAAGTATTGATATGTCAAGCTCTTATATTAAAGATAAATCCATTTTCATTTGCCTTATTGGTAGTTTAAGACCATTTATATCTATAAAACATTTTATTTCTTTCCTTTTAAACTAACTGAAAAAAAGTAACTACTAACATTTTCTAACCCATTTGTCTATATTCTAAACTAATTCTTTTTGCAACAGAATGAAAAGGAAGAGATGAAAATTTTATTAAATAAGCCTAAAAAACTCCAAAATTATCTTAGTTTTTATTTGGAGCTATAATTAATTTAGTTATTGTGTAAAAGACCAAAATTAAAAAGTAGAATGGTAAGGGCCAAGTGTACGGTTATGATGCTATATACTAATATTAGCGTAATGGGACTTTGGTAGCCATCGGATTGGTTTTAATTCAGATTACTTGCTCCTATATATAAATTAGGGTTTTTAAGCTAATTGATATACACATTTTCTATATTCCCTTTCCATATTCTATGCACTCATATTAGTGGAGGTGAGGGGCACCTTTGATTGTCCATAAGGAGTGCTTGTGTCACGAATATGACTTCGAGTATCGAAAGTTACTTGTTGGTTGTCCTTTCGGATATTCTTTTCTTACTGCCATGATGGCAAGAGGTTGGTATTGCTGGATACTTTATTAGTTTCCACCTAAGTTAGTTGAAAAACTGGTCATCACATGTGCACTTAAACTAGAAGGGCACTAAGAAGCTCTATTTCGTTAAAGTGGGATTTATTCAGTAAAATGGGACTAGGTACAAATTTTCAAGTATTTGAAAATGACGTGAAATTATATGTTTTTTGTCCAGGGGCTAGACATATCTGGGGCATGGTGACTAGCGCGGTGACTTTGTGTCCAGACTGAGTCCATCTGGTTGTATAATAAATCTCATTGTCAAGGTGAACAAGCCGAATCTGAAGCTAAAGAAGAGCGATGGCATGCGCGCACACACTATTTGTTTGTTCATTGAGCGTGTGGTGAGCTTTCCAAGATGAACGTCATTCCTATTAGCCAGACATATAACTTAATGGTGAGAACATTTAGATATTATTCAATGTTATCTTTTTCTAACGAATCTAATTGTGAAGGTGTAGCAAGAGGCATTGCTAGTCTGGAGAAGTCATTTAACTCATTTGACCCTTAGTGTATTTTCATGAAACTAAATAACATTCATATTATTAAGGAATTTCTCTAGTACCTTTTTTTTACGACATAGAGGCTTGCATTTCTTTCAAAGGTGATTTAGTAAAAGGCCTAAGGGCACATGCCATTCTATTTCTCAGACCGGTATTAAGATATACTAGTGCAAAGGGAAAAAGGTATTTGGTGATCAAGTAAATGGCATGAGGGCACACGCCATTATAAGCCTAAGCGCTAGTGGACACCTCCTTTTTGGTACTCTCAGCGGTACTATCATCCTTCTCCGGGTCAGTTGTTTTGCTTTGGATTGTTGTCTCTGACGTTACTGGGGCGTTCTCGATAGTTGTTAATGTTGCCGTTTGTTCAGAAAAATGATCACCTGGAGTATAGTACGGGGAGTTTGGAAGACTTATATATTCTACATCTTCACCTATCTCCTTCTCCGTCTCCTTTTCTGCCTCACTTACAGATTTTGTGCTTGCCATGAGAACGCTCTTCACCCTAAAATATGGAGTTCGTTATGTTATAAAAGGAAACCAACACATACGCTGCAAGGGAATGATGGTACATAAAGCACGTAAGCCCACAATATGGGTTTATGTGCCATTAATATGGGCCACACGCCATATTATTAGATTTATGCACGTGTGATTGGTAAATGCATATGTCACATCATCTTTGTTTTACCTCACACACTATATCAGGCCTAATGAACCATATCACATGTGCGCACATGCTATATATATGGAGAAGTATTATGCAAGGATAGAAAAATTCAATGCATGATTGTGGAGAGCAATGGCATGAAGCCACATGCTAAATAACATTTTAGAGAAATAATTAAAATAGAAACATGCAAACAGTACTGAGTGGACCAAGACTTAGAAGTGCACAATTGAATGAGGTATTTCTAATAAATATTTCACTCACCTCATATAGGAATGGCTACCACTCTCAAATGGCGTATCGCCTCATGCCATCACCTCGCAATTTGTTATAACAATCCGATGAATTCATATTCGGCTTGTTCACCTTGAACTTTAAGTAAGATTTGCTAGAACAACTAAGAATTTATACTTGTTATTTGTATCATCTCACCTAGGAATGGCGTAAGGCCACATGCCATCACGCCTCCTCTGATTCAGATTCGGATTGTTCACCTTGAAATAAAATACATTAGAAACTTAGTAAAGGAATATTCATGAATCTCACCTTGAACCCGGGTTATGAATGCTCTTGCTGCATCTCTTGCATGGTCTGGCAAGGTGATGGTGGCACTCTGCTTCTGCATCCAACCATGCACAACATTATCCACCGATATGCTCATGCTGGGATCCCTTGGATTCAGCACCCATCTCTTTTCTAGGCAATGCTTCGTATATCCGGAACTTGGCTTGAACCACTCCACAGTTACATTGAAGGAGTTAGTTTCCGCGTCCTCCTCTGCATTAGTGATGCAGCGCCCCACCCATATCATTTGTTTTTTATTACTGGGTCTGACAAGCACGACCATTCCTTTGCAGACCTGTACTGGATTGAATGCTGAATCCGGC